AATAAATTTTTTTGACAGATGGTCCCCAAATTAAGCTTTTAATTATATTGGACAATTTCCAAAACCATTATTCCTCAAATTAAGCAACGGTTTGATGACAGATGGTCCACAAATTAAGCTTTTAATTATATTAGACGATTTCCAAAACCATTATTCCTCAAATTAAGCAACAGTCATTAAACCTGAGATCTAATTAATTTCTACGTTGAGTAAACAGTAGATTAGATACAGCATTTTGATGACAGATGATCCCCAATACACCATCGTTCCAAATTCAAATTTAAATTCAAAAAATGACAATGTAGAAAGAAAAGAAACAGAAAGAAATAACCTGTTAAGATTTGTTGACATATAAATTTCCAAAACGATATGCTATCAGTTGTTAGTATGTGTTTTTTGAATTATTCAATGAGTCGGATTATAATTTTTGTTTACTTAGTCTTTGTTTGAGTAAAATCGAACTTGTAAAATTAAACTTGTAAAAGACGAACCAAAACATAATCAAAGATTAGATTAATCATTTGATTATTAACATTTATTGCGCAACATGTAACACTACAATTTTTGCTTTTAATATTAATTAACGTCGTTATTGATACTGGAAGATATAACTTATTTTTCAGCAGCAAGAGAGTACTTTTTTTTTCGCTAGAAGTTTTGAATCAATGTTAAAAAAAACAGTAGGAGAGTACTGGGATGAAAATTCTGTTGTGGACCTGTACTTCTCCCTTTTTAAGTTTAGCTATAATCCTCAAAATGACAACACAAGATACCATTAAGGTTTCATTGAAGCCCAACATCATGAGGCAACATATCACATTGGAAGTTCACCACAAGCAACATACATCATTCTTATAACAGTTTACCTCCAGCACAATATCTATCAAAAGAAACTCCTAGTTCTTCTTTCTATTGTGTGGCGGTTCACATACATCCAGAGGGAAATTTATATACTAAGTCAGCCATATTACAAAATATATCCTAATCATATAGCCACATATATCACAACTACACAAATTCATCAAAATAAAACATATTTTTCAAAATACAACATGCTTCAAATTATACTTCATGTGATAGTTCCCACAAGTGCACAACATCCATAACCACATAACAGCCCTATTCTTGCCCATTGCATCCTTCAATGGCCTCGCCTTTGTCATTTTTTTCTCCTGCTATAGCAGCCCTAAAAAGGGTGAGATTTTTAATGTCAATAACCCATGGAATTCTTAAGGTGTTTCCCTCAACAACTCGAATTCTTCTCTGCCTAAGTGCCTAAGAAAATATTAGCAATATATGAACAGAAGAAAAGATATAAAGCTTCTCTAATGACATTATAACAGTTAATAAACAAACACATATGCATCATTCTCTTCTCATTACACCTCCATGAGCCTCTCTTGCTCAAAGTAGGACATCTCCTAAGAGGTGTTTCTCATCTCTTTACCTGGCCAAGGATGTATAAGTACTTTGCTCAGCATATCTTCATTCTCTTAGCTGATCTTATACTTTTCTCATATCAGCTTTTAGAGATGCACACCTGGCAGCCAATCTCAAAGCATAGCAATCAACTATTATTGCTAAATCAGTCATTTATACATTAGGAGACATACATTCACTGTTAATGCCTTAATAGGTACCAATCACAGATTTTTATATGCAGAAATTAAGAATAAACAAAGGCCATTACCATATCAACAATTCACCATATTCATACATGTATGTAATAAGTACTGAAAAAAAAAACACTTCATCAAGAACATTTCATTTCTATGCAACAACTCTTCCACGGTTTCAAAGGCTCTCTCTATAGCCTTCTTTCAGACCCACTCCAGTTTTATGATTCCAAAATTGAATACCCAACCTACAGCCTTTTCTTGCACTTAAGTTAAAGAGTTTCTAGTTTTCCTTCAAAAGAAAAAGAAGTGGAGTTCAACAGCGTTCATCAATATACCGAATTAGATAGGAAATGTACATCACATTTTATCATCAATATACCTATTGAAAAAAAAATCGAATAAAAAACATAATAGAGAAGTAAAAAATAAAAAATGTTTCTTTAAAAAAAACATACCCGTAAAACATTTTATCCTTCCCAGTTGAACTATTATGATGTTATGAGGAGTGTCGTTGTTTGCCAAAAAAAGATTGCATCTCATCCACATAATGCTCCCACAAAGTGCACTTCAGCTTGTGACCTCTATATATGAGTTGCAGCAAGTAAACGTTATACACGAAATATATAATATATAAGGTAATAGACGACAACAATTTTTTTTTTACTCTAACATTTTAAATACCTCAGGTTTTCAAGCTCCAACAACACCAATTTTGTCTTCCTACCAGACACCACACTTTCACAAACTTCACCAATTCCTGAGATTAAACCAATGATGTCTACAAAAAAAAAAGGGCAGCAAAGAGTTTGTAAGAAAAATGGAAAAATAAAAGAATGAAAAACAGTGAGGAAAAATATATTACCCACTCCAATGAGTAAAGATTTACCTCCTGTGTTGTCCAACCACCCTTAGCGCGCCTTATAGGTCCAGTGGTCCTTCTGTACAGAAAATATTCATACATTGAAAATCAATGCATAGAGATCATAACACAGATACAAAATGGATAAGTTCTCCATAGTATAAAGGGAATCAGCTGCTATTTCAGAATGTGAAACTATGCCAATAATAGATAGGCATAAAACACCGCCCTCAAGGTAACAACATCATGATAATTCATGACTAATACTGCAATGAAAAAGTAAAGAACTAAATGTATGTTACCGATTTGAAGGCGATGCTGATGCTGTGCTACATATCCCTGGAGACTTGTGAATTGCACTGCCACTGCCTTCAGAAACAGAGGAACAGGAAATAGATTGTTTATTCTCCATACAACACTCCTCTGATTTCACCTCAGCCATATCCTTCAAAACCATCACCAAAACCCAAAATCCTAATCAACAAACCATTGAATATATCTTAAACACAAAAAACAAAAAAAGAAAAGAAAAATTCTCCAGGACCCGTCACAGAATAGCCATCTAAAACCCTAAAAACCTAGCTCACGTTGCAAAATTTCCAAACTTTCGCAGGGAAACACAAATATAAACATAACCCAGATCTTAAAATCCACTATCAGATAAAAAATATACCGAACCCATCTTTGTCTCCACACCTGAATCGATTCAAATTCAATAGTAACTGATATTAAGCTACTTAAAAAAAAAGTACGACAGCAGCAACAAAATTGCAACGGAAAAAAAAAAATTAAAAACGAAGACAAAAAGCAGCAACAAAATAAAAAACGACGAATGATATGAAATGTGGGGAAAAAACAACGCTAAGAACACGAAGAATAGGAGAAAGAAGAAGATGTGAGCAATATGGAAGAACCACTAAAAAAAATGAGAAGGCGTGTAGGTTTTGTTAAACGTTTAACATTCCAAGGGAGAAAGTAGGTGAAGATTAATTAAGTTGTCATTTTTTAAATTTTGAAAATAAGATGAGCTGTGTGTTAATTTTTAAAATTTGAAAATAAGATGAGCTATGTCCCAATAAAGATGAGAACAGATATGTACCATTGATTTTGGACAGCAAATCATGGCCATCAATTTTGAGTCCAGATTATAATTTCTTTTTGAATTTTTTTATTCCCTGAATTACCCAAAAAGGAAACTTTTGGAATTGTGGAGTGTGAAAACAAACACGTGTCAGAAGTTGCCAAAGAATGGCTTTGTCTTAGAATATAAGATATGCTTGAATACTTTTTTATAGATAGAGGTTTTGAAATAACTTAGAGCTTAGAATTTGAAAGAATCTCTAGAGAAAAATTTGAAGAATGATCTCTTTAGAGACGTTTGAGATTACCATTATATTTGGTGAAGTTTGATTGTGCAATTAGGGAAGTTTGACTTTTTTGTAATATTTCTTATTCATAGTAAAAGATTTTCTAAACTAGTGTGTTAGATAATAATATAAACACATCTTAAGGTTTTGCTGTAGAAGTGGTTAATAATATAAACTATTAAAAATGCTCACTTTCTAGTAGAATTAAATAAGCATAAAGTAAACCAAAAATTGGATCTGTGTAATATCCACGCTTCAAACTCAAAGGGCTGTCTCGTGAGAGAGTATGTTAGAGAATAATATAAACTATTAAAAACGACTTCATCCAACACTTTAAAATTTTGGGTTAAAGTGATTATTTATGTCCCGTGATTTTTACTTCTTCATATTAGATAAGGTTTTCCAGGTTAAAATTTGAGTGTTTCTCTCTGTCTTTCTCTTTTTATATTTTTAGTTTTCTCTTATGCTTGTTGGCCAACCTAGTAATTTCGGGCCGACTTACCGAGCTCGACATGCTTACTTTTGATTAGCTTCTACATTAAATTTGAGGGACCTCGTCCCAACATATCTTTCATGTAAGATGCTTCTATTGGTGATGACTGAGACATTGAAATCATGGCCAAAATACCAATTGTGGGATAGCTGGTTGTGCTTGAGTGTTTTTCATTTGTGTCCATTTGAGAGATCTTGTTTAACTTCTCTTCATCTTACGAGTAGAAGTAAGGCTAAATAATTTTTTTTTTAAAGGTCTTATAATAAAAAAAAATTACATTGAACAAAAAAACAAAAAGCTCTTAAGAGGAATTTTTTTAAAAAAAAAAAATTGTATCAGTATTTTTTTCAAACGTGTGTTTTTTTTAACTTTAACTTAAAAATAAATTCTAGTTAAAAAAAAAAATTGCCAAACATGCTCTTAATTTTGTCATTGTTTGATTAATGAGCTACCACCGAGATATCTGTGCGACTCAGCTATTCAATTTAGGTTGCTTCGTTGAGGGCTACGATTTTGTTGTCTTGGGCTTCAGTAAACTGGGCCTCTCATGTAATGACCTCTAATATTAATCCATAACAGTGAATAGCGCACCATGTGCAGTGAGATCAAATAGTAGAAACTTTTTCGCCATGTTTACTTTTAGCATTTTAGCATAACATAGGATGGGTTTAAAGGTTCTATTTATTATGAAAAAAAAATTACTCTTACTACTAAATTAATAATCATTAATTTTGATCAATCTAACAGTTATAATTTATTAGATACACTTATTAATTAATTATTAATTTTCAATCATTATAACCGTTATTATAAAAGTTTGGAACAATTATTTGTCCTCTTAAAAGATAGTCATTTTGATCAAAAAACTACTATTTTTTTAATATTTAAATTAAAAAAAAACTTTACTTTCTTCTCTATCATGATTTTTATTTCTTTCATTATAAAACATAATAATTTTAATTAAAATGACATAATTTTATGTCATTTAGTCACCCTAATATTATAATTGAAAGTGATTCAACTAGTGTTATCAGTGTGCTTCCCTCCCAGGGTGCAGCAGCTCGTTAGAGTCAGCTGATTTGTCGGATACGAGCATAAATTCAGAAAGATTGGTCGATTAGTTTCAACTACACGTTCAGAGAAAAAAATGCATGCGGATTGGATGGCAAATTTTATCTTGGAGCATGATGAGGATGTACAATATCTTTTTTGTGAAGAACCATCACATAGCATTCACGTTATGGCTGATCGCGAGCTCTGGTGATCCAATAACTTCTGTTTGTGTTTTGGTGTTCCGTCTTTGTTTTTGTTTTTTTGGCCATGGCTATCAAAAAAAATAACAAACATTAATCCCAAAAAGTTTTTTAAAAATTTATTTTCCTTAAAATTTAGCTTTAACACAGGCGCCTATTTATTCTCATGATGTTTCGTAAACCCAAAAGAAAGTGCTCTTGATCAAATCATTTAACAATGAATTATCAAATAGTCTATTAAAAAGCTACTAAATCTCACACGAACGCACTCCAATACACAGGGAACTTCATGCTCAATTCCCTTCCTTGGCACAGGAGCTATAGCTTTTGATTTTCTCTCATTACTTACAATCTCACGATTCAATCCAACCCATCAAGGGTGTGTATGACAACCTTCTCGGAATAAGTTTTTTTTCAATTTCTGTTCCCGGGAACAAAAATGGATGAAAATTGCGTTTGATAAAATCGGTTATTTTTTTGTCAAGGGATGAACCGGTTTTTTTTATGCTGGGGAATAAAAAAAAGAATCAAAAATTTTCTGCTTTTCTAATTCTGGGCACAAAAAGAGAATCAGTTTTCTCTCACCCACTCACTGACTATGGCAGCGTACCAAAACAACCCCTTTTGAATGGTTACTCTGTCTCTCACTTGGTATTCGTCCCTCTGGTCCTGTCTTCTTTTGGTCTTAAGTTTTTTCTATCTCTCTTGTTTTCTCCATCTGTTCTCAAGGCGTGTGGTGACCTTTTGGTTTATGAATTGGGTAGGAAGGTTCATGCTTTGGTGTTGGTTGATGGGTTGGAGTCAGATATCTATGTGGGCAATTCTCTCCTTTCAATGTATTCTATGTTTGGTGATATGGAAACTGCCAGGATGCTGTTTGATAAAATGCCTGTGAGGGATTTAACTTCTTGGAACATTGTGATATCGGGGCATGTGAAGAATGGTGAGGCAGTTGATGCTTTTGAAGTTTTTGATAGCATGAGAAGAGTTGGTGTTGTTGGAGATGGGACCACCTTGCTTGCCCTCCTTTGTGCTTGTGGTGATATTATGGATTTAAAACTGGGGAAAGCAGTACATGGTTATGTTGTTCGGAATAGTGGTAAACTATGTAATGAGTTTCTGACGAATTCCCTAATTGACATGTACTGCAATTGTGGTTCCATATCTGGTGCAAGGAAATTATTTGAAGAGTTAAAAGTGAGGGATACTGTATCATGGAATTCTTTTAAAGTTATGAAACTTTTCAGTCAAATGTTTATAGGAGGTGGAATTCCTAATGAAGTAAATGTTATTGCTGTTTTTGCAGGTTTATGGGTACCGATTTTGCACATAAATTGGGTTACCTACCAAATCCTTTCCGTTCACTGTGAATTGCCAGATGTTGTTATTGTTAAATAATTCCAAACCTGCAATTTCTTGTAACACAGCAACCCAATATCCAATGAAATTCTAATTCTCAGAATGAAAAAAAATAATTGTGTTAACAAAAGTAATTCTAATTCTCGGAGGAAAAAAAAATATGTTAACAAACGTAATTCTAATTCTTAAAACTTTTCCGAAACACATAAATAGAAAAAAATTATTTTTTTCAGAAACAATGCCAGGAATTAGAATAGTTGTCACGCGCAGCCCAAATATCATTCCCTTCTTCGATGACCCAAGGGGCCAGCTCTGCAACCCCCTCTTTCTTTCCATGCCCTCTAGTCTTTCAACTTGAGATAACTCGCAAATTCCAGCTTGAAAGCTGGAGTGCAAACGGCTGATTAAGTAATTCTATCTAAATAAAGCCCAAAAATGCAATAGAAGGAAGAATCTAGTTTCAGCCGATATCCAAAACGTAAAATTTTTACTCGAAAGCATAGCTGATTGCTCTAATCTGTCTAGCTGAATATGCGATGTGGTTAGGAGGTTCAAGCTCAATTTTCCCCTTGTTCCAAGACCACGTGATTAGGAAGCTAGTACAAACGGTTGTTTACAGTTGTCAAGCTAGGGGTGGAGATACGGAGTTAAAAACCTCCAGAACCAAATATTCGCTTTGTGGATAAATTATGTCGCGTTGTCAAGACTTAAGAGGCACAAATTTTGCAATGAACGAACTTGAAGAAAAATGAACAATTCAAAGGTTGCGGGAACAAACTAGAGTATGAAATATATATAGGCCAATGTTTCTTTTCCTTTTTTCTTCTTTACACTTCAAGGAAGGAACAGTTTCCTGGGACTGGTGACCTAAACAAATTAGTTCTATGATGCCCTTTCCCTCTTCTCAATGTACAATGACTAGGTCATCAATAAAGTGGTAACAACACAGCCAAGCGCAAAATAACATCACAAAAGGTGTAGGGACTTTGAAGTAATACAATTTCAATCATTAAGATTAAAATTCAAGTGGAAACAACAAAATAACAATTGCTGCATTTCATTCAAACAGATCTAAGACTAAACCAAGCAAGGCAAAGGTCCCTAATACAAGAACATAAAATCAATACAGCCAAATACACCAAACATATACAACAAGGGATTCAAACCCTTAATTTGGAAAAACTAGAATCAACCACCGAAACCGTATAGAGTCCTGCCTTGCCTCTTGAGGGCGTAAACAACATCCATAGCGGTGACGGTTTTCCTCCTAGCGTGTTCAGTGTAGGTGACAGCATCACGAATGACATTCTCTAGAAAGATCTTGAGAACACCACGGGTCTCCTCGTAGATGAGACCACTGATTCTCTTGACTCCACCTCTTCTCGCCAAACGACGAATCGCAGGTTTGGTTATTCCCTGAATGTTATCTCGTAGCACCTTCCTGTGCCTCTTCGCTCCTCCCTTTCCCAAACCCTTACCTCCTTTTCCACGACCCGACATCTTCACCTGCTACAATTTCTGCTATCCCTTTCTGGTTTTTAACCAATTTGAAGAAAAGATTTGCTTCTTAAATGGATTTTACAATGCCGGGTTTATATAGAGGGAACTTTCTGCGGGTGTGATTTGTGTTTTTTATGGCTGCCGAGTGGAAAGAGCGATCTTGGCTGTTGATTATAAAATCATCGACGGTTCAATTTCACGATCCGCGTAGTCCAGTTTGATTAGTTTAGAACCGTTGATTTTACGCGATGAACGATGCTGTAATCCTTGGATGGCTTGTTCACTTCAGATCGATGACGTGGCGTGGCTGTATAGGTTATGGACATCAAGAATCAGGATTAGGGCTGTTTATCAATGATTAATGATTGGGCTGGTTTAAATACGAATAATCCAATAAATCTATATCATATACATGTGTAGGGGTGTAAATGGGCTGGGCTGGGCTGGGCTTTGGCCATCTTGCCCAAGCCTACGTCAAAAAAAATTCAGTCTATCTGGCCTATTAAAGGCTTTATTTGTAGGCCAAGCCCGGCCCATTATCAAAAATAAGAAAGCCTCACATGGCCTACAGGCCTTGTAGGCCTCCCACTATATATACTAAGCAAAAAAAAAAATTGTATAGAGCAAAGAAAGTTCCATTGATGAATGCACTAGTACTTCTCATAAGAAAAAAATGACAAACAAGAAAGAGTCAACATAATACCTCAGTTCTAGAATGTATATCATAGAGGAATAGAGTCAAAGAAATGGGAAAAATAAGAAAAATACAATTACTGGATGCTGAAATAAAGTCTACAAGAGAATGTCATTCATCTAAAAATCTTTAAACCACCATCAAGACAAGGGAAAGAAGAGTATTATTGAAAGATCTTCATCAGTAACATCATAATCCAGCAAGGTACCCATTGCTCCATGATATTAAGCTGCAACAACATGTAAAATTTGGAGACATTATACAAGTTTTCCTTTCATAAAATAAAATAGCACAAAAAGTAAGAGATATTGGTATTTGGTACTTTGTGTCTTTGTCACATAAAATAAATATTTTTTTATTATTTTATTTTAATAAATTAAATAGGCCAGCCTACAAGACTGTAGGCCGGGCTTGACAAAATTGGCCTATGACCTATTTATTAAAAAAACTTTTTTATAAGCCTAAGTCTACTCTACTTTTCTGAAAGGCCGGGCCTGAGCTGGGCTCAATGTAGGCCGGGCCGTAGGCTGGGCTGGGCCAGCCTGACCCATTTACACCCCTATGTGTGTGTCTCTGTCTGTGTGATTTATAAGTATAAAATAAAAATCGAATTCAATTCTCAAATTCGAAATATCTATTAATAATTTTAATAAAAAGTTTGAAATTTATAAAAAAAGATCAAATCCATACACATATGCTTTGGAAAATAAAAGTTCTTCTCATAACAATTATTAACTCATTCTTACGTGACTTGGAAAATTGAGTTTAAATCTTTAAAACACACACTTACGATTTATATGCGTTTAAATCTGTTACGGAACTGACTAAGACTCATATTTATAGAAGGCCCAGATGACACAAGTTCAAAAGTAAACTCTAGTATGACTGATCTTTCTTAACTTTGTTTTATGCAATCACACAGCACACACACTTACCTCCTCTTGGCCAAGGCCGTCATATTGTGTGTCGAGATTCGCTGCTCCCAAGATACTTAATTTATAAATATCTAGAGAGCATTAAATCCAACATCAATCAACTAACCTTTGATTAGACATCTCTGTCACATGGAGAATAAAATCCATACTAAGTGTTGTTGAGAATTATAACACAATAAACTTACAAGTTACAATGGAAAAGCCTCCCTTATCACTAATTTTTTTTATCGCGAAAATAAAAATTGTTAATAGGAATTCTATGGTATTGGTGCTTCAATAATCACGATCCCCCTTATCAGTTGTTGCTTGGACATCGGCTTATCATTGGAAGCATTGATAGTATCATTATTTATTTTAAATCTGGATGCATCTAATTGTATAAGAAACAACAAAATTTCCAGGAACTATATATTTCTCAAGGTTTCTTCTGCTCGGTAGCTAAGGGATTAGTCTCTCCGAATACTTTTCATACACATGAATCTTGAAGTCAAACTTAGGGTCGTTTGGTACACGGATTTTTTTTGAATTTTTGACGAATTAAAATTTTTAAAATTTTAAATTTTCAGATATTATCGTAAACTAATGTAAAAATTATATTTTTGAAAATCGAGATTTTTGGACAAATAAAAATTTCTCCTGTACCAAACACACTCTCTTGAAACCACATGTTTAAGGGATTCCAACCACTTCTACTCAGGCTAACAGGCTCGGTAATTTTTATCCAACTTATAAACTAAATTATTACTTCAAAATCTAAGTGACGAAGCTTGTAAATTGTAATCTTGAAATACAAAAAACAAAGATTTAATATGCAAAAATTATGTCTGCTACAGCTAACAGCTCAAGCTATGAAGAATAGAAGGATCCTTTTTCGCTCACATTTTGTGAAGATATAACACCCTTTGGAGAATGAAGCCTCTTCATTAAATTCGCCGCCTGATGATATTTATCTGTCATTTCCATGTTATGCCTGTCTATGTACTTGAAAAGAATATTCAATTTGCCTTGAAAGTTAATGTTAATTGATCTTTACTTTCATTTTTTAGGTAAATAAAATGTTCAGAACAAGAGAAAAAATCACTATATATCCAGAAAAAGATTAATTATCGCGCCTTCAATTGCACCATAATTTATACAGCCTTTATATCGACAATTTTAAATAAATAAAAAAAGTCGGCAAGAATAACAGACTCGAGGTTCAGTGAGGCTTCGATTTACCTTTACCCTCCCCCCTCCAAAAACTAAACATATACTACAATACAAGTGTGCGTAAAATATAAGAATTACCTATCAACATCATATCATATATAAGAAAAACGCATATTAGCTCCCTTAAAACGAAGGCACGAAAATGAGCACATCCAAGCATCCAGACACGCCTCAAAACCCTTCAAATTGTGATGGACTTAGAAAAAAAAAACCTAAAATATGTCTGGAGGGAGAAATTTCCCAGAAATAGAGCTACTTTCTTGAGCCCTCTGGAGATGGACCTTCAATGCGTAATTGTTCAGCTGCATTAATAAAAAACCATTAAAAGGCCATATCTATTGCTTTCCCCCTTAATATTTGTGCATCTAAGCAAGGGCACTATTGTTCTATTACAACTAAAAATTCCATCCGATTAGAGGAACGGCTTAGAGCAAACTTACATATGATTGTTAGAGTTTCAAAAGAAGAGTAACACTACTTACATGATTCTTCTAATCACAACTGTGCACAGCTAAACTTAAGGTTCTGTGGGAGTTTAATTACAGCACTTACTTGAGCACAGTTGTTTTTTCAACAGTTACATAAGTAGTATTTTTCAAAACAAAGCATATTCAATTTGTATTATACCTTCTGGAGCAAAGTGAATGAGGACCAAATTCATCCAAGATCAACAAAAAACTATAACCAGGTAAAGAAATCACCTCTAAGCTTTGTACTTTTTCTTGGTACTGGTTTAGGACATTCTTAAGATGCTGCACTCCCTTTGTTTTCTCCTCTTGCTCTAAACTGCGTTCATGTTGGATGGCAACTGCTTTTTTCAAAATTTGGTTGTCATTTAACAGGTTCTGCAAATGTTCCTTCAGAGAAGCATGCTTCATCTGCTCCATGGACACAAAAGCAATGAGGATGATGATTATCTGGGAAGAAAACCACTAATCTCTACCTCTTTAAAGGTTGAACGGAATGCGGTGTATTTTTACAATAGATAGAAAAATTAGAAATGAAAAGCATAGGTAGAGATGCTTGGCTACCTCCTCTGACACTCTTGCTTGCACACTTATACATTGTTCAAAAGCCTCTAAAAGTTTGGCAGCACGTCCTCTAGCATCATCAAGGTCTGTTGCATTCATCATCTCATTCACAAATAAATCTACCCAATTCATCCCATCTTGAGAAAATCCACAACTAGGTGTTGAATTGACACAATTTTTCCCTTCGATTGTCTCCTCCCGCATTCCACTACCTGGTGAATTAGAACTAGGGAAAGCAATCTGAGCCGAAAGCATAAACATATCCTAATGAAAATATATATGTATGTGCAAAAGCCAAGTAAATAAGCAGTCAAAAAGAGAAGCAATCTGCATGCCTTACATGTAGCTTGATTTTGATCCAAAATGACACCGCAATAATTGCCACTCACAGCAGAATCAGTGTTTTGAGATTTGTCTCTTCCAAATCCGTGAATGTCTCCGGAAGAAAGTGCACCCAAGCACTCAATGGCATCTTCAATCTTACAATTTTTATTCCTAAAGACTCTTTCCACAACCTAATATGAAACATGAACAACAGTTAATCCGGTATTTATCTCCCAAAGGTTCGAATTTGAAAATCACCCTCCTTAACAAATGCAAAGAAATGGTGGAATAAGTACGTAACTCGGTCCCTTTTTGTTCAACCCATCATTGCTATGCAGTTATATACAAAATAAGACAAAACACACACACACAAAAGAAAATTCTGTTTTTAAAACAATGCACACACGCATCAGATGAAATTATGGAAACTTAAGTTTCACTTAAAAGTTCTAGAATCTTCAAAAAGCATCATCAAGCTGCATCTGCAATGGAACTACCTATTAGTATGAAAAAACAGAAGCACTGACGCACCTCAGGGTCTAAAGCAGGGAACATTTGAAGCAATACTGAGACAGAATTGTCAGAGGCAAAACCGATTTCAGATCGGTTCGGAGAACCATAACTAGATCTTCTGGATTTCTTGACAGAAGAACACTGCGGCGGAGAAGAAGATCCAAAGATCTCTTCATAGCCTACCCTCTTACCACAAACCCCAGCAGACATGGCCACCTTAACCCTTTCACTCTACCCAACAATACAAACCTAGCACTGTTATAAACCAGACAATATTATGTGTCTTTGTACGAAACTAGGTATGAGAACAGAGCCCCCACATATACAAGTTATGTAATTTTGTGTTAGTTCAAGGCTCTGTTTTGTTTTGTGTCAATTTTTTGGCTTTTGGATGAATGGAGTTACTATTTGTTTGGTGAGATGTTGAATAATATATTAATAAGGACCAGGGTTTGATGAAGGATGGTGTGAAGATGGTGGTGGTGGTGGTGGGGTTCAGATTGATGGGGCTCCTTGATTACATAACCTTGAGGCCTTTTATAAATTGCATTTTTCAAAGTTTACAGTTACGGTAGACGCAAGAAAAGTACTATATTATTAGTAGAGACAATGGCAAGTTGGATCTTGGAAGTTGAAACCTGTTAATTTTGCCTTCTTTGGTATTACTTTTTCTTTGCGACTGTTATTGATTCGGACCATTAGCAGTTGGATTTGGATCAATTTCTTGCTTCTTGGGCTACTGCAGTACACTTTTTTTTTTCCCTCTTTTGTCATTTATTTATTTTTTGGGAAAAAAAAAATTTGTATCCCACTCTGATATTCTTTTTCAGTTTCCACTCTATATTTCAATCAGTTTCCACTCTATATTGCAATATGTTAGATCTAAGTTGAAACAACGCTCTGGCATAAACATGGAAACATGGGATTTATATCAAGTGAGGGGTTAGAGAATAGAGTAAAGAATTATAACTGATGATAAGGAAATTAAAGGTTTAAAATTTTATAAGATACAAGTATTTGCTTCCTAGATTATAAATAAGTGAATTTGACTTTCATAATTTTTCCATTAATAAGTATAATTCCTCACTGAAGTGCATTCGTATTCAAATCAATAAAGTGAATAAACTCAATGCTTTCTCTTGGTTTGGGAGGAAGACATACACTTCATATGCATGAAATTTGGAAATTTGCTTTTATGAACTACTAGAGTCCAATGAAAATTTGCACGCTTAAAACCAAACTTTAAAATGCTAAGAACTAAAAATAACAAACTTCTGTTTGGTTTGGGAGAAATTTTTATTTACTAGGAAAATGTAATTAATAGAGAAATTGTTAGAAAGTGAGTTTGATAAGAAAATGTAAAAAAAATTGTTTGGTTGACCCAAATATTACCAGAGAAATTTATTTAAATATGCAAAATCTATGTTCGGGAGAAACTTTGCACCTATTTTTTCACTTCCCCAATTATCTCAAAATACCACATCTCAAGTGGTATTCTGTAACAGTGAATTTCATCCAAAAATCAACACAAAAGTCATTTTTCCATCTATCCTATTTGCCTGGTATTTTTTGAAAAAACCTAAATCAAACGTGGTATTTTCTAATATCCACTTACACTTTTCTATCAATCCCAAAATAAACCTTCAACCAAACACTAAGTAAAGTAACAAAAGAAAACTTCATATTTCTACCAATAACTAGTTTTATCGTATGTGCTCTTCTCGATTCTGTTAAAATAGATGTGTATACGTGTTATTTAAATAATAAACCGTTGTCCATTGCAATTGTTTTTACGTAAGTGTTTTTATCCTTGATCGATATAAAAAATATATATCAATCAGTTTTAAATTTAATTTTCTCAATAGAAAATCATAAAAAAAATCTTACAATAAAACATTTGGCATATGTAATCTCCCTAAAGAAGTTTTAAGAAAATGAAAACAAAATTGTAGAGACTCCTTCCCTACAACCACTGATTAAAAATCTGTTTGGATTCTTCTTTTTTAAGCTTGAATGTACTTATAAGTTAAAACTAAAAAAAAAACTTAAAAAAAATTAAAAGCTATTTGGTGATTACATAAAAATTTTAGCTTAAAAGTTACTTAAAAACACTTATTTCAATAAAACTCTCTCTATATCTCTATAGCTGTTCATTTAAAACAAAAGCACACAATTCAAGAAAAGCTAATAAGAGCTTAAAAAAAAGCACTTCCTAGGAGCTTTTGACTTTTAACTTTTTTCTTCATTATAAAAAAGGAGATTTTCATCATAAGAATTTTTCTCAAAACTTGTTTGGTCTAGCTTCTTATAAGTGACTTTTAGCTTAAAAAAGAAATGATCCAAACACGCACTAACAGATCTAACTTTAGGAGAGGAAGAAGCAAATTTTCAATTCTAAGGGTGCATTTGGTGGTCAGATATAGAGGATACAATAAGGTAGGCTACTGTATCATATTCTTATCTATTATTTGGTGAACCACGAGAATATAATAAATTTAACATGCATGATAGATTATCTTCGACGGGGGATTCAAGATAGGAATTGTCAGGAAAAGATAGCAATTTTTCACATACCTCTCATGTCAAATATAGTTTTATATTATTCTCTTACAAACTTTGCTAGGTACGTGAGAGTTAGCCATTGCCACCGACCAGCCACAGTTGTTGCCAGCCATTGGCCTCCTCTATGACCCGCTACATAGTGTCCAACCATCACCATGAGCTACCAGCCACCACCATTATCATCGGCTACCAGAACCCCTAACCACCAGGCACCAATCGCCATGTCACAACTAGCCATCACCACCACCTCCATCAACCAATCCCTACAATTGCCATCAGTTACTGTCGACGCTGCTATCACTTTCACCAACCACTACAACCTCAGGGCACTGCCACCCTCTACCACTAAACATTGGTACCAAACATCATTGCCATCAATCAACCACCTCAATTGCCACTAGTCACTGTCGGCACTGCCACCACCCTCGTTCGATTTATCACTAGCCAACCACCACCATCATTGTTGAAGGTGGCAAAAAAGGTCCAACCTGCCATTTTGTAGGAATTTCCAACCCGCTTGAACCCACCCCCCTTAAGGGCGGGTCAAAATGGGTTCAACCCACAGCGAGGCGGGTTGACTTGCCCTAGTGATTTTTTTTAATAAAAATATTAATTATTGATTTTTTACACTTCTTTTTTCATCATTTGATACCTTGTACATCTATGAAGAGTACAGCTTTTGAAAAAATTTCATTTTTTTAATATGTTGGCGAGGCGGGGCGGGTTACACGCCCTACCACCTCTAAGTTGCTGCAACTATTGGCCACCGTCACCACCACCAACCAACCACTACCTCTAGTCACCGCCACCCCCAACCACCAAGTACCAATCGCCCTTGCTGCCATCATTAGCCACCATAATTGTCACCGATAAACACTATCGCGACATCACCACTTCAACTAACCACCCATACTTGCAACGACTGCACCAGCCACTGTCAGTAACTATTGGCCATAAATTGATAATCAATTTAGAACTTAATTTTTAAAACTTTATACGATGAAAATATTTTTTTATTTTGAAAATTTTTGTAAGTTATTTACGTATTTTAATGTATTATTTTAATTTTTTTAATAATTTAAGATAACAACTAATATGGAAATAATTTACAAAAAGTAGTTTGAACTTTATTTTTAAAAAACATATAAAATTCTATTGAAATTAATATTTTTATCTATTTATACCATATCATAATATTATATGGTTCGCCTCAAATATCGAAATGATAATATTATTCTATTATTCTTCTTATCTAATGCACATCAAATACCAATAAGCTTATAATACCCATATTATTTTATACTTTTATGCAGCTCTTTTATCTTATTCATTTTTATATCCAAAGCTACCAAATTGGCCCAAAATTATAAGGCCGACTTTGTTCAGTTTAACCTAGCCATTCTAGAGAAACAACTAAAGAATATCTCTCTCTATAAGAGTTCGCAGGCCGCTATAGGTTAAATTTTTAGGTTCAACTTATTTGGATCTCTTATTTTTGTTACTATGGATTATCAACCACTCGATACATCCTTTATCAAATATGTAAAAAAAAAGTAATAAATTTATACTACTCTTACCTTTATAATTATTTCCTTTCACATCCCTATTTTTTCTTTCTTTCTTGATAAAGATGTACCTACATCCGTTGCACTGAAGATTTACTCATCTATAAGCTTGCTTTATGATAAGTATAGTTAGTATCATGATTCTCTATGTTCATCCACAACCACAACCAACAAGCACTCATGAATATGTCACGCAACTTGAACAATAGGCAGTGATGAGGTTGTTGTCGATCCAAGTCCCCAGGTAAGAAGAGAAAAAAATTGAAGAATCTTTAAAGAGGTCACTAGATGGATCCAAATACTAGAAGCAGCTAGGCAAGGCATAAACACCTTTGTAAGATTGTTGGACAATGAAATTGCTCAGTTAAAGCGGACAAGACCAGTCTCGTCAATGATCCTGACAGGACTAATGCCATGTTAGCGTCACGTAGGCAGTCCCGTCATCGTAAAACTTCGAAAGGTCATAACTTGTGACTTGGGTATCCAAATCAGATGATTTTTTTATTTCACAATACTTTTTAAGATCTACGTAATGACACCTCATTTGGCATATTTTATCTCTCACAAACATAGTTAGAATTTGTAACAATGGTACCACAATCACAAGAGTGTTTAACTCAAGAAACTTCTGAGTTCTTTTCGAACCAACACCATGAGCTACAACATATGCCATCGATTGACACGTTTTATCTATGTAAATGATGTTATTTAATTTGTTTTCTTACTTTTCAACTATCTAATAGTAACAAATAATGACAGTGGTTTCCTCTTCATCAACGCGCATAGACAATAACGTATAACAACGTTTTTTTTATAGAAAGACCTAAAGTACTGATCTTGCTATGAAAAAATCGTTGCCTCAAAGGCTTACCGTGGGAAAACTAGGCCAAGAAATCGATGACACAGTGTTGCAACTCATGATGTTGGTTCAAAAAGAACTTGGGAGCTTTTGGGTTTAAACGCTCTTGTGATTATGGAACTATTGTTGCCAATTCAAACTATGTTTGTGGGAGATAAAATAGTACAAATGAAGTGTCATTGCGTAAAAAAAAAGGGGGGGATGAGATTGCCTACGTGGCGCTGACATGACATTAATCATGTCAGGATCATTGACAAGACTAGACCCGTCAGTACCAGTGACATGTTTGACTATATTAGTTTGAAAAAATTTATTCAATTAGTTTTAAGTAGACAATTCTTTTGTCCAACAATCTTAGAAGGGTGCTTTAGCCAGCTTGGCAATAAAAATATATAGAGTGAAGCGATTGAGATTTGGAAAAAATGGGAAATTTAAGTATAAATAGAAAAAATTAAAATAATTTTATTTAAAAATATGAACAATCGAGATTTGGAGAAAAAATTAATTAAAAATAAAATATTAAAAAAATCATTTTAAAAGTATAAGTAATTCGGCATAAGTGGTAAGGAGCTTGTGTCTCTTAAGCAGAGATCTCGAATTCGAGACCTGTGAATGAAAAAAATGGTCTTGGAATTTGGGAGAGTTGTCCCCTATATAAAGTTCGACAATAGACTAGTCCGAATGATGAATTAGTTGAGGAGATTAAAAAATATATATAAATAATTAAATTTTGAATGAAAAAAAGCTATCATTTTAAAAATAAATTAATAATTTGATAATCTGTAATATAAATAAAAGATTCCATACAATAATAAAGTACATATAAAATAAAAAATCTTCTCATTTTTAGGATGATAAAGTCAGAAATGAATGGATCTGGATCCTCTCATCTGAAAATTCACATGACCATGTCATGCGGGGATTCATAACCATACAAAAGTGTATCAATGGTAATAAAGGAGGAGAGAGAAAAAATGTTAAAATAGATAGTTAACAAATCGTAATGATTGATTTATCTTTATATGGTTGCGATCTTCCACATGACCCGTATCATGTTTTTTTTTTTCACCCAGAGGATCCATTTCCGAAATGAATACTTAAAAATAAAGCGTTTTACTCATAATTTCTTAGTCGTGGTTTTTTTGGGCGTTTTGGAATTTGGAAATTGCGAGGGGCAAAATGGTCAAAAAGGCGAACACTAATCTGCTTGTTATCTGCGTTAGGGGTTTATAGGGGAAGAACACGGCGAAACCTAGGAAGCACGACATCAAAACTCGCGCTAGTGAAAAGTGACGTAGGGGAGACATTCACTGCCACCGCGTGAAAAGGTAAGCTCAGTTCATTCTCAATTTTGTTTCGGATCCCTTCCTTATTCTTAAGGATGAGATCGTTCCCCGATTTCCGTTTTCGATTACTATTATTATTTTTAAAATCAACATTACCATGCCAACACTGATTCTACGTTTGCAAATATGCTGCACCCTGTTATGCTTCTTCATCAGTTTTCAGATCGGGGCTTTTTATTCCTGTTATATATCATATATGTGTGTGCATGTTCCTTAGTCTTCTGGTAATGGAATGTAAATAAAATTGAAGCATCCGGTTTCATTTGTGAAGATCTATTTTTAATTTTCATTCGTAAGATTGAAGATTGGATTGGGAACAAGAACATTGTATACACAATTAGAAAATAAACGTTAATTGCTCGAGTAACCACACAAACAACAATATGAAGTCTATTATCTTTTTTGAGTTAGTCAATTTCTTAACATTTTTTTTTTTTGGGCATCACCGTATTTGTCCTCGTGACGGTATAGTGGGAACTAGGATAAATTTTAGATGTGATGTTCATGTTGTAAATCCATTTTTTGATATACCAAACCAGGGCATTGAAATATGTTGATTTTGTTGACTGTGATGTTACAGATGATTGATGATCAAGATCTGGGTTTCTTTGCCAATTTTCTTGGCGTCTTCATCTTTGTATTGGTGATAGCATACCACTATGTCATGGCTGACCCAAAGTTTGAAGGAAACTAGGAATGCTTAGTTGAAGATGTGATTTTCATGTTGTAGACTGAGATGCTTAGTAAATGGAAAATTTGATATTATCATGAACTTCAGTTTGGGAATGCGAATGTTAGCTTATTACTAAAACTTACATAAATATCATTGGAGCACAACAATTCATTTTTTGCTATACTTTATGCGTGCTTCCAAAAGCTTAGTTTTGCGAGTAAGGAACTTTCATTAAAAAACCAAATAAAATGTTGAATTTGCTGTAAGATTACAGGATTTTGCTGGATGATGTGCTGCTATATTTTGGTGGAATCATGACATGAGCAATAGTATTCTATCCCTTTTTCTTTGGAATTTCAAAGTAAACCTTTTCCACTTATTGACTGAAACATTGCATGCATGGCATATGTGAGCTCAGGCTAAGATGTCGCTTACTAATATGTTTGCCATGGATGCTACCCGATGTATATGCCCTGAAGAATTTGGTTAATTTCTTTCTTCCAGAGTTGTTTGATGTTACATCAAGTATTGGATTTTCTTATTGGGTGCTACAAACATCAGATGTTGGAGTAGGATCAATTTATTATTATTATTATTTATTTTTTTTCAATTGGATGGTTTTATAGAAGATACCATCTACATTTTATTGGTTAATTCCTAGGGCTACGTCTCTTCTTATGGTCACTTTTAAGTCACTGTGCTTGATTTACATGAACGCAGAGCGTTAATCTTACAATAAATATTTTTGAAGTTTGTTTGACTTGAGGGATTCTCCCATATAAGTAGTTCTTTTACCTCACTCTGAATCTTTATTGTTTCTCTCGTCAAGCTACTAGTGCAGAATCCCAAGCAACTGCAATGAAAAACCATTTGACCTTTTATCATCTCTTCATCTTTGTTGGCATGAGTTTTGTTAGCAATCTCCTCCAGAAGTTGGACAAAAGAGCCTGTAATGCTATTGACCTCTTCATCTCCACTCAGGATCCTAAATGCATCCGCATTGGGATATTCTCCTAACTCGGTATCGAAAGGAACATTTCTATTCTTCAACTCATTTTCAACTTCCCGAAGAGACTTTATCCTTGTTATTTCCTCAAGGCATTTCAGTGTGAGGCCAACTTTGTTCTTAAAATGCTCCATATTCTCATTTACTCGATCTTGGAGATCTACCCCAAACACTCCAGCCTTCTGTGACAACCGCGTGACATGTTCCATTGAGTATGCCATAAAAAATAAGAGATCTACCATCCTTGATAGAGATTCCAGCATCCTACTGTAGCAGACACTATGAAATGGAAGGAACCAGAAATTTGGCTCCAACTCAGCTTCTGCTGTAAACTTTTCTAATTGACACACAAGAGATTTCAGCTTCTTCTGTCCTTCTCTCAATGCTTGATAACTCGAAGATGGCATCTCTCCAATGCTGGGAGTAATAATGGCAATCTGGCCAATGCAATCTTGAAGTGCTCTCAAGCTTTGAGAAAGTTCAGTTTTTGCTAGAGTTGCAGCTCTCGAGGGACTTGCAAGAATCTCGACGATGATGAAGCAAATGAGTCCTATTGTGGCCTCGGTGATTCTAGCAACTGCAAATTCACTTGGAGAGCCATAGTGATTCCTACCAAGGATTAATAAGGCCCCTATAACTGCCGAAATCCCACCAGCTTGCCCATACATTCTACTATGCCTAAGATAAGAACAGAAAACGACCCATGGTAAAATAGGTAAGAACCTTACATCCACAAATCTTTTGAAACTGAACCAACAAAGGATCCCGTAAATTGATCCCATTGCTGTTCCTTGTCCTCGCGCATTTGCAACTGAGAATGTTGGTTGCCGTCCAGTCACGAAACTGATGGCGATTGTGAGTCCTGACCAATATCCATTTTCCTTGTTGTATATCAAACCAAGTAACACAGCAATGCCTAATGAAACCGAGGACTTTAATGCGAATACCAAGTTGTGCTTTCTGGGAATCAAGTTCATTACAAACTCTCTGATCTTTCTGAAATTCCATTGTGAATCACCATTTTTCTGAGTTTTTTCCAGCATGTGGTCAGTTTTCTTTGCAATGGGCTGGTCCTCTAGGAGAAGATGCACACAGTATAAAAAGAATGAGGTTGGTAGATCTTTATAGGCTATGGTTAGGTTTTTGTTCAAAATTTCTTTTTTAATCTCTGAAGTTTTCGTTGCATCAGCAGCAGCAAAACAATTAGCTTGCTGATCTAACTTTTGGCTGAAGTGTCCTTTGCATTTGAGCAAGACACCTCTGAGCTCATCATCAATGACACCAACAGGAAAAGAAGTATAACTTGATAGAGCAATGTCCATCCCTCTTAGTGGTATCTCCAAGTCTTGCAGATCTTCTTCTCTGTCAACATAATGGGGATTGAAAATTTTCTTTTGTGGCCGTTCCCAATGCATGCCATCCTGTTTTGTGAAAAAACCAAGACCAAACATTTAGCTCATCTATAACTGCTAGGAAATCAATTGCCTGAAGGCACAAGTTCAATGTTGAATGCCATGATTTAGGTTTAGGTTAGCTTACCAGTTTACTTCTGATATTCTCGAGAAGCTTGGCTCCCATTGTGGAGAGGAACTTGGCTTGAGTTAAGAAACCAACAGCAGCTGAGTTGTCTGAGGCAGAGATGGCCTCTATATTGCAGTTTAACCTCTCAGAAGTATTCTCTTTGTATAATCGATAGAACTTCCTTTCCTGAAAGCAAGAGAAAGTGCAAAGTGTTTTTTTGTCATCGTGGATGAATGAAACCAATAATTATAACAATTTGCACTTTTACAACTAAGCAAGGTATCTGCAGGGAACTTCCTATAGCTCCAATAAAAATATGCTATGTTTGAGCTCTTAGCATATTATCTATGCACAGGATTACAGAACAAAGTACTCTCCTTAGTCTTTAGGGATTGGGGGAATCGGATATAATTAATTTTGCAGCTGTTGAAGGCAATAATACAAGGAATAAATAGAGTATTGGGGTGTCCACCGGTGCATATGCTTAGCATTTAGCATAGAATACGAAATAATTACCCTGTTTGTTAGGAGACAATGAGAACAAAAGGAACTGATTCAGAAGGTAAAGCTTATATTGCTTTCATAAATTAGTTCACAAAATTGTTGCAAGATAATGTTAGATGTTGAGTGAAAAGAAATGTGGGGAAAAGAAATGTGAAAAACTGGTAGTAGTTTCTGAAAAGAATCATAAATTTGTTTGTAATGTTAGGATTTCTCTCAGTGATGCTAAATTTGCTACTAAAATATTGTAATATCTGGCAAGTGTCAAAGATAATTGAAAAAAACAAAAGGGGAATAAAAGAGAGGTTATATCAAACAAACATCTACGTCTTTCTTATTCGTTCAGTTTTCTATATTGTTCCTCTGCCTGTCACATGCTCGGGTACGCTCAGCTAAATTCTCCTTTCTCTCTCACAAACACGTGCGAACATGAACAAGGAGACAAGATTGCTCCTATCTAGTAGGAAATTGCTTTAAGAATTTACTTAAAAGAGCTTGTGTGATATGCCTAATAATTATACAAATATCCAAGTTCCATTAAGATATATCTAAAGTTCCATTAAGATAAGTCTAATAATTATACAAATATCCAAAGTTCCATTAAGATATTTCTAATAATTATACAAATGCCCAAAATTATATTAAGAATAGTTTGATGACAAATTGTGAAAATTTTAATAATTTGGTTGTGATAATAACATGTAAAGATGTTTCTTGCTAATATCAAATTAATACTATAATACTGAACGTGAAGGTGTCCAATTCCAACGTATATAGATGCTTCTAAGCCATCATGAAAAGCAAATTTAGATTTATTTGGCTTGTTTTTCATCCGTTCACTTGTTCCTAAATGATGAGCAGAATGAACCAAATGTCTCGCTCTTTATGCATATGGACACAAACACTAACAGACAAATTGGCCTTACACATAAAATAATAAACACCAAATCTTATGAGTGCCAAATCTGATACCGACACGTAATAAAATATGAAAGGGTCATAAAGATTTATTAGAAAGAAAGAAGGGGTTAGGCTAACATGGACTAGTTTATAAAACCACTCTAGAAAAAGCAATAATAATTTTGTAATTCAAGTAATTGATTATAGTATGATGATGAACTATTTGTTATGTCTAAACTGCTTCTGCTTTTGTAACGTATATATAGTTTATTGTGAAATATGAAAGAAATATACATGCTTTGTGCATTGAACAACAAAGGAAAAACCAAGTATATATGGCTATCAGATTTATGTTATAACCGAACAGTTCATAACATTTTTCAAGTACTACATTAAAATTCGATCTAGCATGATTTCAAGATAAAACAAAAGTTACCTCATAATATGCAAGGCGAGGATATGGGACCAACATGGCCAGGACAGAAGCAAGAGCTCCAAGGGCTGTAGAGCATGCCACTTGAATTGGGTGCATGGCCACTCCTTCTTGTCCACCATATATCACTGTGCTTACATAAACATTCACTAGCTGTCCAAATGCAATTCGCTTAGTCAGCAAGTGGGTTGATTCCGGCAGCGCAACCACAAAAGCACTAGCTGCCACCGCCAGGGCAGCGACTCCGTTGGTGAAGTTGTCAGGTCCTATGACCTGAAGGCTAAGTAAGGAGAGGATCATAACATGAAGGGTTGCTAAAAGGACATGCCAGCAACCTCTTAGGGTGTCACCAAGTGTTGCATCGGACACTATGAGGATTGTTGTCATATAAGAGAAAGCTGGGAATTTGAGGTAGCGTTGGAGAGGTGCAGGGCCATAGAGGGAGATGCAACCTACTATGGTGCATGCTAAGGCTGTTCTTAGAGCAGAGCCTAGACGAGCTCGCTGCACCTCTGCCCTTGTGTTAGCAATTGTTGTTGTTTTTGACATCATGAACTATGCACAAGAAAGATTGTTACTTTACTTGGGAGTAATTTGAGGAGTGAGTGTGTTTCCTAACTTAATAAATGGCAGGGCATTGCTACGAGGTTGAGAAATATGTTAACATATATAATATAAAATATATGAGTCATCATTTATTAATTTCTTTAGAAAGTTAGTTCGTTTAAAAAAAAAAAAAGTTCTCACGTGTGAAAGGTTGTTGAGTGTGAGAACGTGTCATATTACAATATTATTGTGTTTAATATTTTTGTTTTTGTTGCGGAAATGTTTTTTCTATCACACTCTCACTTAAAAGTAAATGGATCCTACGGTAAAAAAAAAAGTAATAGAATTCACTTATTTTTATGTGAACATGGCAGAAAAAAAATTTCGAAATATTTTTTCCCATATCATTACTTAATAACTTAAGTTTTTGGAAAAGTTAATTCATCTCAAAATAGACAGCAACAACTGCGTTTAAAAACGAACAATAGTGTGATGAGAGAAAGACGATCCAAGTGGAGTGGCTTTTACGGTGGACCACTTAAGAAATGGTCTACTGGTGATCTCATTCATGGTTATGTTTCTATTAATTCATGTGTGCTTTGCAAAATATAAAATTTTAAAAAAGAATCAGATAACATTAGTCCAAATTAGTGGGATACCCTCCGATAACGATGGGTTGTCTTTCTATATGAGCAGTACAATTTGTCCAAAATAAAATTCAATAAAACCTTGCTTTAGTTTCCAAACATGTGAAGTCTATCGCTCATGTTAAAATGCCGTACGCTTCCAAAATTATATAATCCAAATAAAGCATGAGTTATAAATTATCGACCGTAATATTAAATTGTATTCACTGCTGCGAAGCCATATAAGTGGGATTTAAATCCAATATTAAGTAGTTTAAAAAGAATCCCGGTGTTGCGTGTAGTCTATTCACTTTCTAATTAAATTCTTGATATATATGTTGTTTTAATCGCCGTTGTAACTTGCTTAATAATACTCCAAATGCATCACTTTTACCCTTCCCCAACGTGAGAGACTCAACTCTCCACTTGCCCGCATATCCAACTTGATATTTTGTTGTAAATGCTTACTTACATAGCTGCCCACATAATAGGGTAACAATTGAATGTGGAATCAGTTCGAATCCCTTTTTTTGTACAAATAGTACTGTACATGCCTTAAGAAGACAAACTGGAAACAAATGGGTGAACCACAAACCCAACAAATTCCTGACCATAAGATTCATATGTAGGGTTAACAGATAATCAACCACGTACTCAGCAACTAGCTTGACTTTCATGAACGTCTTATCACTTCTTTATTTATTTATTTGATATACGCTTCTTTCATCTTAGAGAGAACTGCAAAACAAGTTCTCCTGGGTATGTGAATGTTGTTAGAATTCCAAAGGCAACTAGATTCTGGTGGAACTTTCCCATTACAAAAACTCAATGTTCCCTTTTAATAAATAACTTTCGTTTGGCTCTCTTATAGGGAAAGGATGCTGATGAAGGGATTATGTATAACAGAGAAATTCAAATTGGACTTACGTGATTTAAGATTATTTGAAAATGACATACTCGCTTAATGCAAAGAGTAACTGAATGATTTATTAAATCTCTCTTTTCCTACCCCAAATTGAAAGTCCATGAGAAATACAAACACAAACTTATAGTGCATGATTTGATTTACGACAAATTCATCATGTGGAACAAAATCATTATATGCCGTATATATTTGTAATCCATCAAATCTTTTTATGCCCTTAGAGGGAATACCAATAACCCCACGTACGTGTACCTATCACTAAATTAATAATGATGGATGCAGCTCCCTCTAACCCCGGGTACTGGGTGTTCCATGCTACTTTGCCAGCCACAAATTTAAGAAAATTATAGATAACTACTATCAATTAAATTAATACGTAATAAGAAATAAATAACTTATCAATATTGGTCGAGAAGTATACTAAAGAGTATTTTGCCACCACAAGAAGATTATATATCATGATCTCGTAGTAAATGCTCTCTAGAATACATCATAAATATACTATATAGATCCAAATAAAATACACATTCAATTATAACAGAGTAATAGGAGTTGTATGCACTACAAAAAACATATGGCAGTCATGGCATGGACTTTTAAACAACCTTACGTACAAGATTGTGACATGTTAAACATGAGTATAATATTGAAGAATCCTAGTAGCTTTTTGCAAACTTTTGCCATAAGGCGCCTTCATCTGTGATGATTTGGACCAAGCAATAATAATAATGTTTTTTTATAATAAATTGTGCCACAAAGCATGACATATGCTCACCTAATGTTGGGTTGGATCACTCCCGGAGCTAGGAATTTTTTTTGTATGTCTGCACACTTAGGATGGGGTTCGGGGGCGCTGGCCCCGAATTTTTTTTTAAAGATCATGATTATGATCCAATTTTTGCTTCCTCTTCAAAAGTAAAGCTTTGGTGAATCAACCAAAGTTTTAAGGAAATAATTGATAATGATAATTAAAAAAAAAATAAACACCACAAAAAGACATTTGTAAAATATAGTATAATTGTAGGGGTTAATCGATCAAAAACTCACATTTGTCGATGTCTATTTGATTCAAAGTTGGCCACTTTTGTTTCACAAAAAAAGTGAAAAATCCCGTGCGATACTCCTCCACTTGATGAAGATTGAATTTCAGGAATCGTTGATGTCTATTAAGATTTGGAGCTAATAAGATTTATGTAAAAAAAAAAAAAAGACAAAGCAATGTGCTAGGGTTTAAGCTTTAAGCTTTTAATTGTAGGGGTTGGTTGGGTTGGACATAACTTTACATTTTTCCTTTCAATCTTCCTATTTTTTTTTCTTTTTTTACTTGACATGAATCACCACTCTATGTGAATTTTATTTTTTTTCTCCCAACTTTGTATCTGCAAGTGCAGATAATTGCAGCCACCTGTATCCGCCGTTGGGTTGGATCAAGTAAATCCCCCATTTGTTCATTGTATATCTTTTCCTAACAACAAACAAAAAAAGAAACAAGACCATTATATCATAATCCCCATTGCCACATTGGAAACTTTTATAAAGACTTAGAAAACTACATCGATATTGATAGTTGAACAGTTTTCCCTCAGACATATATATGGTGCTGCTAATATATTAATTCAAATTCAAATTAATTAAAACACAAAAAACGTAATACAAAATTCTTAGCATTAGAAGTTATGAAAACATTAGACAACATTGTTATAGAAATTTATATAAAAATTAATTTAATCCAAAAGTTTAAACAGTTAAGTGATGGACCTTTAATGATTATATTATATTTCTCAAAAACTCAAAAAACGTAATACAAAATTCTTAGCATTAGAAGTTATGAAAACATTACACAACGTTGTTATAGAAATTTATATAAAAAATTAATTTAATCCAAAAATTTAAGTTGTTAAGTGATGAGTCTTCAATGATTATATTTTATCTCTCTAATACATCCCTTCATACAAAAGCCCATTGAACTTGAAGCGAATATTGCACATGTCTATTTTTTTGTTTTGCCTTATACTTACTTAATTCTATTAGAAAATAAAGACCGTAACGATGGAACTTGTGACCATATCTCACCTAAAAATTCAAATATTTAATGTGAAGATGACTTTAATGATTTTATATCTAATTTCTTTAACATTTAGAGATTGAATCAACAGCTATAACTCTGCTTCGAGACCTACCAAAAGCAAGAAAAGTTTGTAGCAAAGAGAGGGAATTTGAGAAAAAATTTAATGCACTAGGAGAACGAACTCGATATTTCTTTTTACTAAATAGGAAAAAAAAAAAAAATTTATATTTCTCTTTAATTTTTTTTTTATATTTAATAAAAGATAGCACCAAAATTCAATGCTCCTTGAAATTTTTCTCCAGGAGTACACAACGGCCATCAGGTATCAAACCAAAGAAGATAAAAGATACGCATGCTGATTTGTTCTAAACGTGGCAATACAAAAATGGAAATTTTCGCGTGCCATAACTCACAAACTGAACAATGATGGCATCGAGGTGGATTGAGCTTATTGCACTTAAACAGTACTGGATCCGTTGATTAGAAGTATCAGATAAATAGCACAATCAACAGTCAATTTGAACCGGGGCAATTCGTTAACTGCCTCACTGCCTTGTCTTCTAATTGCTATAACTAGAATTGGACAACATAACTAACAATTGTTGCTTTAATTTTAAGCGACATATATCGTAAAATTACCTTAATTGATTGTATTTTATGATTGAATTCACAGATATATATTGGATCTGTATTTATTTTACTTAATTTTTAATAAATTATAATTTCAACACGGACTAAGGGAAATAAATAAAATTAATAAAGAGTGCCTCTTAGTCTCTTACACGGTAAAAAGGATCCGCCCTGAAAGATTCATGGACATGATAATGCACCCCCACCTCAGAAAAGAGCATAAAGTCATGTAGATGCTTCCAACCATTAAACCCAGTACTGTTTTTATCACACAAGATATTTGGTTGATTTGGGTACCATAAAACTAGATTCTACTTCAAAATTAAATTCATGGATAATTAGAACTTGTTCATATAAGATTAATCTCCTCCTAATCAACAAAGTATTAAAACCCGAGACAATTTTTTCAAATTTTTGTTTCCCTTTTTTCAAACGCTGTTTGGAGCCGCAGGAAAATGCTAAACAAACATATATGTATAGTAGTTAAAATTGAGATTTTAAAATTGAAAAGGGGATAAAAAATCGTAAAACGTAAAAATGTAAAAGCGTTTCGAACATTGATAAAATTATTTTGATGAAAAAAAATCGTAAAAACATAAAATTATTGTGATAAATCGAGATTTTAACTACAATGTATATATAGTTATTCGATGCCTATTTACCTTATTTAATTTTTGATAAATTATGATTTCCTTTCTAACAAGAAGAAGAAATAAAATCTGTTAAGAGTGCCTCTTGCACATAGAGTGGAAATGGTTGGCATGGGCATGGTAAAGCACCGACGTCTCAAAACTTTTGACTACAAGAATTTATGTAGATGCTTGCAACCATTAAGCCCTGTTTTTATCACACAAGATATTTGGTATATTTGGATATCAAGAAATTAGATAGCTTGATTCTATTTCATGATTGAGTTCATGGATACTTATTCGATGCCTTTTTACTTTGTTTATTTTTCGATGAATTATAATTCCAACACTTAATGATGGAAATAAATTAAATCGGTAAATAGTACCTCTCGCACATTCAATTGGCCCAAAAAAATGCAGGGGCATGATAATGGACCAAGCCCCTAGCCCCCCCCACAACAAACCCAAAAGAGATTATAATAATTCATGTAGATGCTTACAATCTCTTGCACATACAGTTTTTATCACACAGGATATTTGGTCGATTTGGATTAGCCATAGGCCTACATTTGAAGAGAGGCATAATGGATTTGGTTCACATGTAACCAACTTGCTACAATATTTTCTAAAGAAACACCTCATGGTTCATGTCAATCCACATGATTCTTTCCACTGGAGGCCGCTCGGTAGGCCACGGTGTATTGGAATGAGATTTTAAAGTATTTTAAATGATTGTTTTTCGACAAAAAAATTCATTGGTATTCGATTAGAATTTTAAAAGACTGAAAAAAAAAAAGTCACTTAGTATTCGATTAAGATTTTAAAAGATTATTTTAGAGTTCATCCAAATCCGTTGGTATTCAATCAAGATTTTAAATAAAGTAAAAATAATCTTGTAGTATTTAAAAATCTAACGATTTTAATGGATTTTCTATTGGTGTGGATTTCGTGAGACTTTTTACTGAGAAATATAAATAGAATGTCTATCTCACAATATCACCCTAACCCCTAGGATTTTTTGAGATTTCTTTATTGCAGTGTTTTCTTCTTCCTTTGATGCGTGACTTGCTCAAAACCAGGTTCCGCCATGAGAGCTTCGTCAAAGCTCAAAAACAGCAGATTTTTGAGTGGTTTTCATCACAAAATAACCCAAAAAAACAAACTAACAAGATTCTAATATAATCCATCTCAAAAACAGCATATTTTTGAGAGCTTTTGGAAGTTTAAAAAATGATTTTTCAAGCTATGGGTCACGATTTTTTTTGGCACAAAAAGATACAGTTTTTGTATTAAAAATAACATAAAAACCTCAAATTAATTTTTGTTTTACATCAATAAAACAAGATCAATTTAAAGAAAGATTGAAACTTTCATAATATAAATCCTATATTTCGTAACAATACATTCATGAACGAAATCCATTCACTGTAGGAAACGATTTCAAACAATTTTTGTATCAATAGATAACTAAAAACTTGTTTTTCAAAAGCCCCAAAACAATTTAATGAATACTCAAAAATTCAAGTTTTAATATATCGATTGAAAATAATTTGAGAAATTTTCTAAACTTTTATGTAATAAAACCCAGAAATTCAGATTTAAAATTTTCTTAGAATACTCAATGAAAACATGCATATGATATATGGTTAGAAAACTATCATCATGTAGAACAAAAACCCCAAGATTTTCAAGATGAATTGCAAAAAATTCCAAATGAAATTTTATCATGAACTTTAAGTTTTATATGTAAATTTAGAATTATTTTAATAAATAAATAAAAATTGGGTCTTACAATAATATATGCATAACTCTAATACCAAATGAAGAAGATAATTTTTAACTCATCTGTCAAACCCAAGAGCATGAACAAGAAAATGCTAATGCATGGAGGGCTAGTATAATTTTAGATATCTGAAAATTGTTGCTAAGTAATTTTAAATGTTTGTTAAAAATTAAATTATATTTTATTGATTGAGAAAATTATATTAAGTTTTACTTTTTTTTTATTAATATCATTTCATTTCTTTATTTTTTTATTGACTCTTTTAATTTTGAATATTTGTTAAAAATTCATAATGTTTTTTAAATCTTATAAATCCATATTGTCTTTTTAAATCTTATAAATTCTATTAATATCCTTTAAAATCTAATCTTATGAAATCTTGATGGTAAAAAATATCTTTTAAAAAAGTCTTTAAAGTCCGTCCAATCCTAAATAGTCTTTTAGAATCTATAGGATTTTTTATCTCAAAAAAATCTTTCAAAATCCTTATCAAATACACCCCCTAAAGCAATATACTATTATTAATTATTATTATTTTTAACGAAAGTTTGCCGGCTTTTTTTAGTTAATAATTTATTTTAATACTTTTATAAGATACATCTTGACCAAATCTTTATAATCCGTTTTTTTTTTTTTTCATAGTTTGCATTTAATTTCAATTGACAGTATACATAATACATTTATTATCGAGACATCGTCAAAATTAAATATGATTTTATTTATTTTAATTTTGAAGAAGTTCAATACTTACTGAAATTATTAACCGTATTTCCTAAAAGTATTATATGCTCTTTTTAGTAGACAATATTATATACTTTTTTTTTCGGGTAAGAATATTATATACTTTTACATAAATTTGTTGTTTGTCATTTAATTTATATAATTTTTTGTTATATTTTATTCAACAGGTAACTTTATTGTTTAATAATTTATTTTTCTTTACGAATAACACATTGTCATTTTTTATTTTTTTTATTTAAATTCTTTTAAAGTAAATGCATGTATCTTTAAAAGTCAATTATATATATATTTACAATTTTAAATATTTTTAAATACTACTTTTTTTGTTATTTTATATTTTATTTCTTTTAAAATATTCATAAAATAAAAAATAATTACCAAATTAATAGTTAAATTAATGACCAGTACCTGATCAAAATGAAGACGTGTGTGAAAAACTATGTTAAAAATACTGTTTATAAGCACACACAGCAAATAAATATAATCTTTACAGGGGAAGGATATTGTGACAATGAAGTTGTATTACTACTAAGTGATTACCAATTATTCTCACCGTTAGATCGATTATGTTGATCCAACGATTATATTTATTTTCATCTTTGTATGGTTATGATTTTCCACATTTAAAGTGAAAACATTAAATATGGGAAATCATAACCATAGAAAAGTGGAAATAAATATAAAGTATTAAATTTGAGAAATCGTGACCATATAAAGATGGAAATAAATATAACCGTTGGATCAACATAATCGATCTAACGGTGAGATTAATTGGTAGTCAATTGATAGTAACACAACTTAGTTTTCACAATATCTTTTCTCATCTTTATATTACACAGTTTAATGTAATATTATTACAAAAAGAATAAAAAATGGGGAAAAAGAAAAACGACGAAACAAGAAAAGTTGAGAGCAAATGGGAGCACATGAAAGGTGAGAAACAGTGAGTCTCGTGACGGGCCCACATGCGGAATAGTCAGATGACTCAGATCTGAAAACGTGAAACCAACCGACGACTCCGAGGCCTAGACTCACACAAGGAACATTCTGGAAGGAATCCAAACCCTAACTATATAAACTCAATCTTGCGTTTTATTACTAATCACAGTGGTGGCGCTGTGGTTTTCATAGTCTTTTTCTTAGATCTCTCTGTTTTTTCTGTTAAGAAACCTAATGGCAGGAAAAGGAGAGGGTCCCGCTATCGGAATCGATCTCGGAACCACGTACTCTTGTGTCGGAGTCTGGCAACATGACCGCGTTGAAATTATTGCCAACGACCAGGGTAACAGAACGACGCCGTCTTATGTTGGCTTCACTGACACCGAACGTCTCATCGGTGATGCCGCTAAGAACCAGGTCGCCATGAACCCTATCAACACCGTCTTCGGTTAGATTTGTTAAAACCTTGCAACTTCGCTCGTTTAAGTTTTCTATTTTGTAGATCTGTTTATGAGATTGTTTTATGGTTTACTGTTTGTCATTCTTAAATGACATAAGTCTGCGTCATTTTCAATGAAACTGTCGGTTTGATGTTTATTCATTTTCTTTAATTTATAAAATTAGAAATAAAAAGAAAACAGAGGAGAGAGAACGTAAAAACTTACCAAAACGGACGAGATAGTTTCGTTAAAAAATGACATAACCTTGTGTTATTTAAAATGACAAACATTTTTCTCTTGATTTATTTATTTAATCTTTTACTTCAATCCTTATATAGATAGTGTAACATGTATAAAAAAGGCTTCATGTTTCTAGATCTACTGTGATGTAGAAATTCTGATTAATTTCATAGATGTAACTTGTAAGTGGTATTGGTCACTGTCTTTATTCTTCAAAATGCCATAGATTCAAGTTTTGTATATTTATTAATGTGTTTAAATGCGATATGGCCAATTCATAAGATGCTTTGTCTCTGTTTATCAGATGCTAAGAGGTTGATTGGTCGTAGATTCAATGATGCCTCTGTTCAGAGTGATATTAAAATGTGGCCTTTTAAGGTCATCCCTGGACCTGCTGATAAGCCAATGATTGTGGTTAGTTACAAGGGCGAAGAGAAGCAATTTGCCGCAGAAGAAATCTCTTCTATGGTGCTTATGAAGATGCGTGAGATTGCTGAGGCCTACCTTGGTTCCACTGTGAAGAATGCCGTTGTCACTGTCCCTGCGTACTTTAATGATTCTCAGCGTCAAGCTACCAAGGATGCCGGTGTTATTGCTGGTCTTAATGTCATGCGAATTATCAATGAGCCTACTGCTGCTGCCATCGCCTATGGTCTTGACAAGAAGGCAACCAGTGTTGGTGAGAAGAATGTCTTGATTTTTGATCTTGGTGGTGGTACATTTGATGTCTCTTTACTTACTATTGAAGAGGGTATCTTTGAGGTGAAAGCCACAGCTGGAGACACCCATCTTGGAGGTGAAGATTTTGATAACAGGATGGTGAACCACTTTGTTCAAGAGTTCAAGAGAAAGAACAAGAAGGACATAAGTGGCAACCCCAGAGCTCTTAGGAGGTTGAGGACTTCCTGTGAGAGGGCGAAGAGAACTCTATCCTCTACTGCCCAGACCACCATTGAAATTGATTCTCTGTACGAGGGAATTGATTTCTACTCCACCATCACTCGAGCTAGATTTGAGGAGCTCAACATGGATCTCTTTAGGAAGTGTATGGAACCAGTTGAGAAATGTTTGAGAGATGCTAAGATGGACAAAAGTACCGTCCATGATGTTGTCCTTGTTGGTGGTTCTACCAGAATTCCCAAGGTTCAACAACTTCTTCAGGATTTCTTTAATGGAAAGGAGCTATGCAAGAGCATTAATCCTGATGAGGCCGTTGCATATGGTGCTGCTGTTCAGGCTGCAATCTTGAGTGGTGAGGGCAATGAGAAGGTTCAGGATCTTCTCCTCCTGGATGTCACCCCTCTTTCGCTTGGTTTGGAGACTGCTGGTGGTGTGATGACTGTCCTGATCCCTAGGAACACTACAATTCCAACGAAGAAAGAACAGGTTTTCTCTACATATTCTGACAATCAGCCCGGTGTGTTGATCCAGGTCTTCGAAGGTGAGAGAACAAGGACTAGGGATAACAATTTGTTGGGGAAATTTGAACTTTCAGGCATTCCTCCTGCTCCCAGGGGTGTTCCGCAAATTACGGTGTGCTTTGACATTGATGCCAATGGTATCTTGAATGTCTCTGCTGAAGATAAAACTACAGGTCAGAAGAATAAGATCACTATCACCAATGACAAGGGTAGATTGTCAAAGGAAGATATCGAGAAGATGGTTCAAGAGGCTGAGAAGTACAAATCTGAAGATGAAGAGCATAAGAAGAAGGTTGAGCATAAGAACGCCTTAGAAAACTATGCTTACAACATGAGAAATACCGTGAAGGATGATAAGATTGGAGGAAAACTTGATCCAGCTGACAAGAAGAAGATTGAGGATGCCATTGAGGCGGCTATCCAGTGGTTAGACAGCAACCAGCTTGCAGAGGCAGATGAGTTCGAGGACAAAATGAAGGAATTGGAAAGCATCTGCAACCCTATCATCGCCAAGATGTACCAGGGTGGTGCTGGACCTGATGTGGGTGGTGCAGCTGAGGAAGAATACGCTCCATCTGGTGGAAGTGGTGCTGGCCCGAAGATTGAGGAAGTAGACTAAATTTAGGTGCTTTCTACCTTACAAATGTTGTACTTTTAGTCTTTATGATGCATTTTTCTTTGAACTTTAACTGCTTGGTTTACAAGACAGTTTATTTTACAATATTTCCTTTTGTTGTGTACGTCGCATTAAGCATTGTGTTACTGCTTGCCGTCTTTCATTGGACGAAGGGTACTCAAGTAATTAACTGTTTATATACATTTTAGCCGTTAAGAGTTATTTTACTTAGTCTTGATAAATAACATGGTAATATCTTTAGCCAATCAAATGCGTAGTTCAGTTCGTTGGCATCTTTTAGAGAAAAACTCTTGTTTAGGAATGCCGCATGCATTAACATTTCATTCGTATTTTGGAAATATGTGATCTCACGCGAATTGCATGTTTAAGGTTATTAACGATACGTGATGTTGGATCTCCTCGCACTCACTTCCGGCTGCCATGATAAGTTATGTCAAATTTTGATCTCCTGCTTTCGCGATGGATATTTTCATGATGAATTTTGTTGGGTCAAAATTGTGTTCATATTTTCATAAATGTTTATACATCTTAATAGGGTTTTATTTATTTGTTAATGAAATGAGAGATATAAATATTTTACATGTAAGATTCGTTTTTTCGATTACTGAAATATGAATAGGGTGTTTGTGAGCGTGATTATTTATAATGCATTTTAATATTTAAGCACTCTTTTGCTTAGCTGCAATGTTGTTGAGAGAAGAAAACAAAGCCGAAAAATAACTAAATAATTCAGAAAGTGTAATAGTTTTATTTTACCCTTGAATTGGTTTTAAAAATACGTCTGCACCAATATATGCCACACTTTGACCTGACCTGATTCTTTCTGATATTATATAATATTTTAAAACTTATAATTTTTAAAAAACATTAAGAATAAAGAATAATTTTTTGTACTTAAATTAATACCTTATATATGATGCGATAATATTATTATATTGATACAATTCATTTAAAATATATATATATATATTATAAAATAACTTTTAGTTTTAGTTTTATATTTTGAAAATTTTATAATTTAGTTATGCATAGTGTTTATATTTTTGTACTTTTTTAAATTTCTTATTGGTTCGATTTTTACCCAATCATTAGTCAAGTCATGATGAGACCAAAAAAATTAGTAATTTGAATAAGTATCAGGTTACGTTTGGGCCCAATTAAAACTGGCGAAATCGGACCACACTCTTAATCATAATTAGATAATAAAATGTTATAAGCCTATAAAGGCACTGTGTCCTCCGATCTTGTGTTCATATCTCACCGAAATCGTTTTGCGGTTTACCTTAACTTCAGTCAATCTTTTTCTTCCCTACATGAGGTCTTGGACCTTCTTTCTGGAAAAAAACAAAAGAAAATGTTATATGCTAATGTATCACATTAGCTATGGAGACAACATACAACACTAGAATGGAGAAAATTGGAGGCTTTTTTGTATAGCCTCCAGGATTGTATTGTGCTGTACAAAAGGCCCCTCTAATGGGTGTCGACTTCGCATAACTGGATTTGCTTAGATTCCAAAATGACTCAATATCTAGAAGAAAACAGAAATTGCTGTATGAGAAAGCATATCATTGAAAAATGTTTCCTTTCATATAACGTTTTGCTCATTCACCATAGTTTTTTTTTCCCCGTCTTTTTTTACAGTCAACGCTCCAAATTCCTCAGAGAGATACACTCCATCACCATACTGAAATTGCAAGGTAGTAGAAACATGGATCATTTTATGTATATGAATATAAAATATTAAATAAGAACACACGAATTTTAACATGCCATACAGTGATGTAACTGTGAAGTAGAACTTTAATGGCTGCCCACAAGGCCACATTAGACTCCCGTATGAGCATTAATCGCCAATAATAAAATCAAGGTTAAAATTTAAATAACCGTTTTGAATTCAAGGTTTTATGGATAAAAAAAATTGGTTTTTAATTTGACCAATTAACGGGCTGAAATGTAACATTTAATAACATCCATTCAAACACCACCCAGCTTTCAACATTTATAATAAAATTTGGGAATTCGCCCCAGATAAACTTGTTGAATTATAAATTTTATGTATATCAAACTCCCACCAATTGGCCTCCTATCCTTACCTTGTTTAAAGAATTAGTCAAAAGGCCATTTGCAAGAAATTGATAATTTAAACTAGTTAATTGTAATGATAGTTTGACATAAGGTGAGTTGAGAAGGATTATTTACAATTTGAACTAAAATAAACTATTTTCTATCCTGTGATTGTGTGAACCTGATAGTTTCATACATGGTAGCAGATGAAAAGGACAGCAACCAGACAGACCATAACAAAAAGAGATGCTATATGGGCGGGTATAGCATACTCACTTCCCCACAGTAACAAGACATTTAATCCAAAACAAAAATGCTATTGTGTACCAAAAAATAACAGAGATGCTATCCAATGAATATTAGTAAGAGACCGGACGAGTATAAATCCAAAACATACTAGTAAAAGGAAGTTGATATTTAACAATTTCATATCAATGATCAGGAATGGATGTTAAAAGATAAAGAATGATTACAATCAAAAGCTAATAGATGCATGGACCAAAAAAAAAGAAACATCGCAATTAGTAAGAAAAAAAAAATAGATTTGTATTGTAGATTACACAGGTACAAAGTTAGTAAAACAATAATTTACGGACCATGCTTGCAACCCCAATAATTTTTAACAAATGCCCAAATCAAGTCAACATAAGATCATTCCCTCCAAGATGAGGGCGAAGGCAAACACGAACTTCATGCTCTTCTGGTCCCTCACGAAGTTTTGGCACCATGATCTCAAGCACCGATCCTGGCCCATCATAGTATGCTTCTATATTGGCATCTTCGGGAATTCGAGTTGAAAGAGGGATTTCACGAACAAACTCCCCAGGAGGACAGTGCTCTGATGATGGATCTGTAAGCTTGAACGTCCTTTCATGTCTCTTGATAAATGGCTTCCCAGATGTGCTCACACAAGAAACTTTTATGATACCATGAGTGAGAGTATTCCTCCAAGAAACTTTCACGCTCGGAAGATCCACACACGGTAAACTGATAATAATCAAGTAACCTTGTTCATCCTCATAGATAGTTTTTGCAGCCGTAACAGGTCCACAAACATTCTTCATCACCCCACTGAAGTCACTCAACCAATGTGGTTCACTTGGGTGCATTTCTATATCTGGAATCCGATCAGATGGAGTATTAACAGCCAAGTAACATTCTTCGTCATTCCCATAAAGAAAAAAATCCTTCCTCTTCTTGCCATTGACAGGAGATAGATCAATGCCATCACCATTACTATGGTTAGACAGATGAGTTGACAAATTCAGCCCAGATCCGTTAAGCAATTTCTTAGGATGAGGATTCGCAGCACTCTTAACTGGGTGAGGTGGTCTGTCAAGCTCAAAGTCCGTGTTGGGAAGATTTCTCCACGAACTGAAGTCGCTTGCTTCAGGAGGGATCTTGAAATTCAAATCTCTGCCGGTGAGTTCCATCCACCTTTTCTGCTCATCCTTATCGAGACCCATCAGATTGGGTGATGGAACAACCTCAATGCCATGGACACATTGCGGGTTTGAAAGCCCTCTATAATGCTTTCGTTGCATCCTGTGGGATCGAACAAAACCCTTGTCAACACTAAAAGGAAACGGGCGCTCCCCTTGGCGAGAGTGCCCATTCATGTAACTCCTCAGCTGCATCTTACCCAATGCATTTTCCGGCCTCTCCTTGAAAACCCACATATACATGTTTTCCATGTCATGTTGAACCATGAAAACATCAAGCTTAAGATCAGATTTATCAAACCCTGAAACACCATTGCTGTCCCTGATAACCTTGGCCTTGGATTTTTCATGCAACACGGGCTTAAAGTAAAATCTGAAGAAAAACCAAGCACCCCATATGCTATCAACTCGCTTGGTGCATTTCCTTCCAGCTTTGGGAAGGTTGAGAAAACTCTCAGTCTCATATCCTTGAGTACCAAGACCAACATCTAAAATATCACATGGATCAGAATTCCATGGCTGTGGAGGCGGGCTTCGCTCTGCTGAGAGGGGCAAATTGATATCAGGAGGACGTGAAAGAATGATTTGTGGATTCATCTCCAAATCCAGTTCCTCATGAGGAGATACACTTACACTTGAATCCATGGACAAGAGAGTTGACGGGTGATGATTCTCCATTGACAGACAGGTGAGAAGAGAATCACCCATTTTACCTCATGAGTTTTATTTCTGCTCCGTTTAATGTTGCCAATCCCATGAACAATTCAACAAAACAACCTTAGCACACACACGCACACACACAAACCTTCTTCCTATCAATTCACCACTATCAAAACCCTAGATTTATAAATCAGATGACACAATCCTCACACACCCACTTAAAAATTAAAATCCCAGCCTAGAAATTTTCGCTACTTTCTTGGAAAAAAAAAAAAAAAGACTTTCACAATTTAAAAAATGCTAAAGGAAAATTATATCTAACCCTAGCCCAGGGATCTCCATAAATCCTCCACACACAAAAAAAAAGTATATCTTTTAAAGCAATATTCTAAAAATTTAAAAGGAAAAAAATTCTTGATGTTCAGAAAAAAAGAGATCCAAAACGAAAATCAAATGGGATCTTCAAGGAGTACCTTTGGAAAAAAGCATCAGAAAATCGAGAAGAAGAACCTCCATAACCGATGATGCAGTTCCCATTCATATATTCTACAACTTAGACTCTTTCCTTTCCCTTTTTTTTTTTGACTCCAAAAAAACAAAACAATCCCTATTTTTCTTCTTCGACAAACACGGAACAGGAACAGGAACAGGAACAGGATAGAGAGGAGAAGCAGAACCGTGGGGAACCGTCTCACTTTAGCGACAGGTTACACCCTCCATTCATATTCAACCGGGTCGGTTTGACCCGGTTCCTTCGTTTATCCATTCTAGCTACCGTATGCATTTTTTTTTTTAATGTTTACTCACGTTTGGTAGATGAAAAACAAAATTGTTCGGGAATCTCAATTTTTTAAAATATAATTTTTACATTTATTTTATAATAATATTTGAAAATTAAAAATTTAATAAAATTCAGTTTTTTAAAAATCTTGAAAAAATGACGTGTACTAAATGCTCTCATAAATTCTTTTTTATTGTAAAGCTTTTTCTATTTATCTTTCACATGCTTGGAATATTTAAAAAAAAAACCACTAGAATTGGTTTACCAGTGAGAGCGTAGGTCGTTAGTATAAAGTAATAGGTTTGAACCTCAGTGTTATTATTGTTATTAAAAAAAAAGTTGAATAAAAAATTTGTAGAAAGAAAAAGAATTTTTGAATAAAAATTTAAAGAGTGAAATTATATTAACAATTTCTTTTCGCTTACGACATCTTATAATCTAATCATTGATTTTTATCAAATTTGTGAAAATTAACTGTTAAAATTTGGTTATAAGATATTATACGAAAAAATGTTATAAATATAACCTTTTCCAAAAGTAAAATATTTTCTTTATATCTGATTGTTAGATAACTTAATTTAGCTAAAAAAATTACACCTTATTATAAATTGTTGACTTGTTCTGCCTAATACTATAGCCAAATTACTGTAGATAATGAACTTATTATTATGTTTGATTTATGATATTATTTTTGTATATTGTGTAACTTGAGTGTATCCGGCTAAATATTTTCATTTGTGTCAATCAGAGTCCACAATACCACACGAAAAGTTGGGGAATTCACTTTGGATTCAACTTTGTTTATTTTTTTGTAAGAGCCATTACGTTTATTTTATTCAAAAACTAAAATAAATTAATCTCTTACTTAGAGTAGGTTTTGAAACATAAATTAAGTTTGACGACTCACTCACAAGAAGAAAATGCACTAATTTAACAAAGGATATAAAGGCAAAATGAAATTAAATAAACTCAGTGATTTACACAGTTACAGTTTAATTTTGTCATCGGTGCAGAGAGGTGAGTAAATGTGTACAAAATTGTGTGCAATAAGCATTTTACTGATTTTGACCAAGAGCAATTAAATGAAGGGAGATAATTTTATATTTATTACTGATTGCTCTTGGTTATACTCCTATATGAGCTGTACACACATTCATAGGAGATAAAAACTACCGTTAATCTCTTAAATGAATGGATAAACCCGTTTGGGTCAGTTTCTTTTTTCGAATAATCGAACTCAACCCGTCAATAAACATGAATTTTTTCACATTAAAAAAATTCGGTCAACATCTTGAAATTAATTGTCTTGATTCAATACATCTACTTTGAAATATATATATTTTTACCTCAGAATTCCAACAGAAATTTCAAAGGTTTATATATATATATATATATATATATATATATATATATATGCTTAACATCTCTCCTCCTGTTGTAGGAGAGATTGAAATTTTCCAGCAGAAAGAGAATTTTGTGGAGCCCACAAACTTTTGAAAATAAAAAAAATAAAAAATAAAAGCACGGAATTCGAGCTGACACAACAGGAGAATACACTTCTCCGGCACAGGAGAAGTGCATTTCCCTATATATATATATATATGAGGTAGGATCCTTTGACATCGGTGTCAAATTTCAATTTTGACACTTCATCTGAGAGCCGTTAGATCAAAAAAGATCAACGACTCTGATTTGCAAGCATGTGACACCGATGATCTTTTTTTATCTAACGGATCTCAGGTGAGGTGTCAAACTTCAAATGTGACACCGGTGTCAAAGGATCCTACCTATATATATATATAGGTAGGATCCTTTGACACCGGTGTCACATTTGAAGTTTGACACCTTACCTGAGAGCCGTTAGATCAAAAAAGATCAACGACTCTGATTTGTAAGCATATGATACCATTGATCTTTTTGATCTAATGGCTTTTATATGAGGTGTCAAATTTTAAATTTGACACCGGTGTCAAAGGATCTTGCCTATATATATATATATATATATATATATATATATGGAAAAATGTTTGTCATTTTAAATGGCATAAAGTTATGTCATTTTAAGTGAGAGATAGACACTGAATAAATTTTTTTATTTAAGTTTTAAATTAAAAAAAAACCACCCACTTTCTCTCTCCCATGATTTCTATTTTTTGTATCTATCTCTCTCCTAAAATGACATAACTTATGTCATTTAAAATGACAAACACCAAACCTATATATATATATATATGTGTGGGAATGATCCGTTTACAATTTTTTTTTACAAATTACATTAAGTATGACCGGTCATACTTAATGTAGTTTGTAAAAATTTGTAAATATAGTCTTCCCTATATATATATATATATATATATATATATATATACGAAAAAATATTTCTCAAGCAGCTTGAGCCGGCTATCCCAAAACTACGTCGTTTTATTTATTTATTTTCTTATATTAATTGATTTACCTTTGAATTGTTATGATTTCATTTTTCTCTCTTTCTTTATCACCATTGATTCGTCTTTGTACGGTTATGATTTAGTAGCCGGAGATAAAATTATCTCAAGCAACTTGAGAAACGATAAGCCCATATATATATAATTGGTATTTGTTCTTGTAAATGACGTAGAATTATATTATTTTAAGTAAGAGAAAGAGATACACAATAAAAATTACGGGAAAAAAGTGAAAAGTTTTTTTTTTTAATTTAAATTTTAAATAAATAATAATAATTCTATCCAAAATAATCATAATTTAAAAAGACAAATATTTTTCCTGAAAAGACACCACCAATTTCCTAACTCCAAATTTTTTCATTTAGGTCGTAATTGCATTGTGTTTTTTATGGAAGGCAAAAAAAGAATTGTCTACATCAGTGATCAAGGAAAAACATTTACGTTTCTGTGGCAATATCAATATTGCACAATACCTTTGATCTCAAAAATATATCTAAACCCTTTTCAATATTATTATTCTTACGCTGTTACGCAGGACTTAATAAAGAAATAGTGCACAAATTATTGAAGACGTAAGATTTTGTCAAATAATAAATGAGTAAATCGTATGCATACATCAAAACAATGACTAAATGACACTACTATTATAAAACTATAGATACGAAAATCTAAAACTAATATTTTTAAAAACAAAAATTAATTGTATAATACACGACAATTTGATTCCATATCAAAATATAAAGCTTATTTTATAAATAATTTATTTAATGAATTTTAATAATATCTTAAATGTATTTTAAAAATGTTCTTAATATATTCTTCATGGGCTTACAAAGTTTAAATTTGACTTTTAGGCATAGTATTTGCATCATGGGCTTACAAAGTTGCCCACCCCCTATCCCTTTTTTATAAGTTGCCTTTTTTTTAGTACAATGTCTAAAACCTTTGCCGATTTCATTTGGTCGCCCGAACTTCACCAAACCGTTCTCTCAAGTCTCAATCATGCAAGCTTCTTCGGCCTTTGAGTGAATATACAAAGGTGAAAGCAAAGGCCAATATGGATATTTTCAAATAAATTCGGTTTGATTTTAGAATTCAATATGAACCGGAGGAAAAGAAAAGAAAAAGTGGTTTATGCCTAAGTTAGACATTTAAGTTTAAGAGAAACTATATTTCAGGAACTAATAAAATGTTAGTGTTCATATTAGAAAAAAAAAAAAAAAACTATTGTAACAAGCCGATACATAAATAGGAATGCTAGGTAAATAAAAATAGTATATTCTCATAATAAATTGTTATTAGATTTTATTAAAATTTAATATTTTTGTTGAAATGATTAGAAGACTATTCAAATAAGTTTTTTAAAAGGATATGGGATTTTTCATACATAAAAAAAAATATTAAAATAATGAAACCCACGTTACGTGTCAATGAAGGATATTGTGGGAATAGGGTTGGTGATGCAAAAGTGAAAAAGTTGTTAATGGCTAGAAAAAGTTGGTAAAAAACTAAATGGCTTGGGAAAATAATAATCTCAGCCGACACCATTCTCGAACATCAAACAGGAACGAAATACTTTCTAACTCCACTCAGGAACAAACACTCTTTCGGTGGGAGACATTGCCCTCTACTTGAAGATGTAACATTAAAAAGATGTAACATTAAATCCAGAACTATAGATAGTTCTGTGTGATGGGTTAAGGAATCGGATAACCCAAATATTAGAACCCTGTGATGCGATAATCCGCACCAGTTGGATAAGGCAAGTCAATAGAAAACATACAAAGCAAGGTATGCTTTGATAAATTTTTCTTTCAAAGATAAATAATTCCTACAATCACAATGAAGGGGAACAAAATAACTAACCATGGCAATTAGTGAGCTAGAATTGCAAGAGACAAATGTGAGATACACTCATTTGTATCATAGATCAAACTGTACGGTACACAAAGTTAGCAAAACAACTATTTATGCACCATGTTGGCAATCCTAACAATTTTTGTTAAGTGCCTTTGTCAAGTCAACATAAGATCATTCCCTCCCAGATTAGGACGAAGGCAAACACGAACTTCATGCTCTTCTGGTCCTGCACGAAGTTTTGGCACCATGATCTCTAGCACTGATCCTGGCCCATCATAGTATGCTTCTATATTGGCATCTTCAGGAATTCGAGTTGAAAGTGAGATTTCACGGACAAACTCTCCAGGTGGGGAGTGTTCTGAGGCTGAATCTGTCAGCTTGAATGTCCTATCATGTCTCTTGATAAATGGCTTTCGAGATGTGCTCATACAAGAAACCTTTATTATCCCACGTGTAAGAGTGTTCCTCCAAGAAACTTTAACGCTCGGAAGATCGACACACGGCAAATTGACAATGATCAAGTAACCTTGTTCATCCTCATATATAGATTTTGTAGCAGTAACTGGTCCATAAACACTCTTCATCACCCCAGAAAAGTCATTTAACCAGTGTGGCTCACTAGGATGCAATTCTATATCTGGAATCCGATCAGATGGAGGATTAACAGCCAAGTAACATTCTTCACCATTTCCATGAGGGAAAAAATCCTTCCTCTTCTTGCTGCTGACAGGAGATAGGTCCAACCCATCACCATTAGACAGAAAAGTTGACAAATTCAACCCAGATCCATTTAGCAGCTTCTTCGTGAGTACATTTGAAGCACTCTCAACCTCAAAATCCGTGTTGGGAAGATTTCTCCATGAACTGAAATCACTTGCTTCAGGTGGGATTGCAAAATTCAAATCTCGGCCAGTGAGTTCCATCCACCTTTTCCGTTCATCCTCATTGAGGCCCATCAGATTGGGTGATGGAAAAACCTCAATGCCATGGACACATTGGGGATTTGAAAGTCCTCTATAATGCTTTCGTTGCATCCTGTGGGATCGAACAAAACCCTTGTCAACACTAAATGGAAAAGGGCGATCCCCTTGGCGAGAATGCCCATTCATGTAACTCCTCAGCTGCATCTTTCCCAATGCATTGTCAGGCCTCTCCTTGAAAGCCCACATGTACATATTTTCCATGTCATGTTGAACCATGAAAATGTCAAGCTTAAGATCAGATTTATCAAACCCTGAAACACCATTGCTGTCCCTGATAAACTTGGCCTTAGATTTATCATTCAATGCAGGCTTAAAGTAAAAACTGAAGAAAAACCAGGCACCCCATATGCTATCATTTCGCTTTGCACATTTCCTTCCAGCTTTGGGCAGGTTGAGAAAACTCTCAGTCTCATATCCTTGAGTACCAAGACCAACATCTAAAATATCACACGTGACAGAATTCCATGGCTGTGAAGGCAGGCTGCTACGTTCTGCTGACGGAGGCAAATTGATGTCGGGTGGACCTGAAATTATGATTTGTGTATTCATCACCAAATCCAGTTCCTCATGAGAAGATGCACTTGAATCCATGGACAACAGCGTGGATGGGTGATGATTCTCCATTAACAAAGTATCAAGACGAGAATGGCCCATTTTACCTCATCTCGTTGATGAGTTTTGTTGCTGGTCGGTTCAATGTTGCCATCCCAAAAGTAACTCGATAGAACAATCTTATAAACACCTTCTGCAAATCAATCCCCACTATATCTCCCCTCCATCAATGCCCTATATTCATAACATAATCAGATAACAGAATTCTCACACATCCACATAAATGGATAATAAAACCAACAATTTCAATTTTTCAAATTTAAAAAAAAAAACCTATAAGATTTAAAATGAGAACTTGTGTATTCTTCTAGCCATATATATAAATATCTCTCTCCATATATATATATATATAAACTACACAACAGTGATAGAAATTTTCCTATATCTGGATAATATTAATTAATTAGTTTTGTGTTTTAAAATTAATCGGGTTAGTAGGTATTCTAATTTCAATTATTTTGATTAGTGCATTGTGATAATGATAAGTTGGGTTTTGGTGTGACCCTGGTTTCCATGATGGATGGACCCATGGATACAAATTCTTTCTTGAATATCTTGCCAGGTCTCATATCTAGCCTATTTATATTGAGATTAAGCCTTGTGAGCCAACATATAGAGGAAGATCCTAGTGCATCAAGTTGCTTTCTTTCCTCCAGCTTTATGATGGCCTAACAAGGTCCACACTTTTACACATTTAATTCTATTATTGTTTGATATTTTATAATCATATATACATGACCATAATTTTTAGATCTTTGAAGCAGGGTATAATAACAAGAGAAATGGACATATATAAGGAATGATATCTCTCCAATCTCTATTTAAGGAGAGTTAGGAAGAGATTTCACAAAGCTGAAAGAAGATTGTATCTAACCCTAGTCCCATAAACACTCCAAAATCAGTTGGGACACACTGAATCAAAACATCAAATCCATAAATTTTTTTTTGCAAACTCAATATATATATATATAGACACACACATAGACATATATAAGAGAAATATATTGTTGTAAAGATTGCAAAAAAAAAAAAATGTTTAGAAACATGGGTATTTACCTTTTAGGATAAGCATCGGACAATCGAGAAGAAGAGGAACTTCCGCAACCGACGATAATGATGTGCTCCACCATATCATCAACAACCATGTTTTCTAGTCAGACTCTTTTATTTTATTTATTTTTTAAAAAAGAAAGAAAGATAAAAAGGCCTAATTTTCTTCTTCTTCTTCTTCTTCTTCGACCCGTCAAAATAACACAGAAGAAGAGGTGTTTCGTAATTCGTAGGTTAAGCCTGCACTGGATACCACTACGACCTTCGTGGACCACCGTTTGTTTCTCCACGGTCTGGTCATGAGTCGCGGGCCCAGCTCTTCTCTTGTTCTGATATTAATGTCATGTTTTTTACCTGGTTGTGATGTGATCAGGAATGTCATTTTTAGTGAAATTATTTTTTATCTTTTTTTTTTTTACAATATTCTTATATTCTCCATCTTTTTAATTTTTTGAAGGAGAAAAAATATAAAAAACTATTAAATATAATATTAATTTCATTTAAAATAACACAATCTTGGGAAGAACGACCATTTTGCCTTGTTTGGCAAAAAAATTTGCCAGAGACTGCTACGCCAACAGTAAATTTTTTTAAAATGTCACACGACATATTTCGCTACATTGTGTAGCGAAATATGTTTGTATATAATTCGCTACACAGTGTAGCGAAATATGTCATGTCATACTGCACAGTTAAAAAAAAAGATACGTGTCAAACAGGCAAAAATTCGCTATACTGTGCAGCAAATTATGCTTGAATTTTGGCAAGCTTGACAAAATAGTCACTCTCCCACCGTCTTGTTTCCCTCATAAGTCAGAACGGGTGGCACTGTTTCTTTTCTTTCTTTCTTGTTTTTTCAAAAATAAATAAAAATACGGGTGGTATTGTTTTAATTATTTGAAAAGAATTAAGATCAATTTAATTTATTGGTTATATAAAATATATTAACTTTACCACCATGTGATGGATTGTGAAATCATTATTAATAGTTTTAATTAAGGACTAAATTGAATTCACTTTTTATGATTAAGCAACTAAATTAATATAATTTTTATGATTAAAATATTAAATTAATGTTAATTTTAAAAAAATATAAATTAATGTTCATTTAAAAGACCAAATTATGTTATATGTGTTCACTCTCAGTACTTTGTTTTTAATTATAAAATGGAAAAAAATAATTTTAACCATTTAATTTTGTATAAATATTAATTATATGAAAAAATCAATCTTGATGTCAAAATCAGATTTTTTTTATCATAATAACTACCCTTTAACGCGGGATCAACAATCTGACCCAGGGTCCCACTCTTGTAACAATACCTCGCCCAATCAGCAAGCGACACTTGTTTCTTCTTCGCGGTATTGATCAGAGGCAGTCGAGCACACAGTATCTCAAACAACACCACTCCAAAAGAGTACACGTCAGACTTCTCCGTCAAATGCTGCCGTTTGTAATACTTCGGGTCTAAATACCCACGGTGCTTACATGGGTCTTGGATATGCCTGAAGGCCCAATTCTTGATAACCCAAAGTCAGAAAGCTTTCCCACCCATTTCACATCCAATAAAATATTCGTCATTTTCACGTGGCAATGGATGATAACACGTAGGGGTGTTTATCAACTGATCCAAATCACTTCAAACTATAGTGACCGAATCAAAAAATCGATAATTGAATAAATCAAAAATTAAAAAAAAAATCACATATTTTAATTGGATTGGATCGGTTTTGGATTGGTTGATTAAAATCGATCCAATCCAAACTGATCCAACATATTAATTCCCCTCTACCTATTTGGGTCTTTCTCTAATTATAACCCAAAAATTTCTAAACTCAAGACCCATCAACTAAATCCACGAAAAAACTAGTCATATCTCATCAACAAAATTTCATCTGTGTAGAGCTTTATATCTTATTGCAAAAAAAAAAAACTATATTATCGTTTATTGATGCTTTTGTATTTCAAGTTTTTTTTTTTACAAAGTCAATATATACAAAAGATATTATTTGCAATATAATCATGAAACAAATTTTAGTATTTTCAAAAAACCAAAAACCGATCCAATCCAAACCGAAAAAATTTGGATTGGATCGAATCGGATTTGAAAAAAAAATACAAACCGAATGTATGATCAAACTGAAGGAATTGAATCAGATGATTTTTGCTTCCAAAACCGATCCAATCCAGACATGTTTCGCGCCTGTATGGAGGTAATGCAGCCCACGCGCTGCTCTGATGCAAATCTTGGATTCTCGTTTTATATGTTGTTGAGCTATCAAAATAAATTTTAATTCCCAAAGTACTTTTTAGGTGTCAAAATGGGTTGATCCGTCCCATTTAACCCTAGCCAGCATGAGTTAGGGCAAAAAATCATACAGGGCCAAAAAGCCCACTACGATAAAGCCCCTCATGGGCCAAAAAGCCCCCACAAAGCCTTATGAATTAATTAGGGCCAACTCGCGAGCCTTCTAAAAATTTAATATTTATTGTTTAAAAAAAAGAAAGAAAATATTAATATAATAATGGCTTTTATACTTCTCCTATCGTTGCAGAATAAATTTTTTGCAGCAACACATAGAAACCTAGGATACCCCAGCGGATCTTGACTTTTTTTAAATAAAAAAATCAATGGGACCCTATAATTATACTAAGTACCATTGGATCAATACGTGAGAATTTTCATGTTGAAAAATCAAGCTTTTTCTGATATACTGCATATTTTCTAATGCAATTAATCTATTCCTGGATTAAAAATAAAAAAATAGCATTTGTGCAATAACACATAATGTTTGGCATTTTAAATTATCATCAAGTATTTCTCGTATAAGAGTGACTTTTTTTTTTTTTTTTAAATAAAGAGGGGCTAAGCCCCATAGACGTTGCCGCTTCCAATTTCCAATTTCACTTATACTTTACTTTCCAATTCATAGCTTGTTCAGCAAAGAGGTGATTTTCTGATTCAACCATATATAGGGTTTAAAATTTCAACTCCCAATTTCTTTCCTTGTCCGATTCTTTTTCTCTTTTACTTTTCCTTTCACTCTCAACAAATTTTCCATCTCTCTCGTGTGGATTACGACAATCCCTCATCCATCTTCTGCATCTTCATTAACCCTTTCTGAAAAATGGTCTCATTTTCCTGAGAAAATTTCTCTTCCTGTTTTCTATTGTTATCCTATCCACCATTCCTTGTTCAAGTCGTTGCAAAATTCCCATTTCCTAAGTTTCCTGGATCGATGTCATCCACAGGCCAAATGTTTCTTTGGATATTTCTAATGTTTAGCTTGATCCATGGGCTAGCCCTATCCAACCCATTGGAAGAGAGGGCTGTGTGGGGTCAGGGCAAAAAATAGTCCTACATTGACGGGGCCAAAAAATTTACAATGTCAGAAATGGGGCCGTCCCCATGCACTAGTCTCTTTTGACAACTCTATCTCTTAAGCTTCAAAGTTCTATAATTTAGTGGGTTGAGCTAAGATTTATCCAAGGACTAAAATGTTTCCTTTATATTATCACATTAAAATATAATAATAATAATAATAAAATAAATTAATTGTGGGTAGAAATGAAGTTAATAATATCATTTAATAATTATTTATTTATTTTTAATTATGCAAATGTATGAAAGGATATTATTGAAAAACAACAAATGATAGTGGTAAATCGATGAGTTGTAAAGCTATCAAAAAAAGAGTGCTGAGTTATTAAGTTATTATATTAAAAAATGAGTCTAAACTGAAGAAATATCATTGAAAAACACCGAATCAAAATGACAAGATTATTAGTTGAGAAAATAATAATTAAACAATATTATTGAAAAGTACCAAATGGTGGTGATAAGGTGATTAGTTGCGAATAGAGGTGGCAAAATGGGTCGGCCCGCTCCGCCGCCAACCTGCCAAAATGGGTTGGCCCGCCCCACCCCGCATTTTGATATGGATTGAGAATCTCAACCCATCCCGTTTTGTGGTGGGTTGGCGAGTCAACCCATCTAAAAATAAAAAATAGTAAAAAAATAATATTTTATTAATTTTATAATATTTCTTATTTTCTTTTTACAATCCCTTTAGTTTTTTTCCAATCTCAAACCTAAATGTATAATAATATTTAGTCAAATATTTTTTAAAAACTTATTTTTGCCTCAATATATGGGTAACCTTTGTAATAATAATAAAAAAATTCTTAAATTTTTTCTACGGGAGTAATAAGATAAAAAAATGTATCACAAAAACTTAGTGACAAATAAAATACTACAAAAAAACTGACCCGTGGGCCAACCCGTCCGACCCACCGCCAACCCATTTTGACCCACAACTAAGCGGGGCGGGTTGAGGTGGGTTGAAATGTATAACCCAACCGCCTCGTTTTGACGGGTTGACCCGTCGAGTTCAACCTAAATTGTCACCTCTAGTTGCGAAAGTAATAATGAAGCAATATATTGAAAAATACTAAAAATATTAATTGTAAAAGCAATAATAAAGAAAGATTGTCTAAAGGTGGTGGTAATATCAATGTCTTCTTGTCTAAAGGAAGAACATCTATAAATAGGTGAAGTTTTAGAAGAAGTTGGAGCAGAAAAATTAGAGAGAGTGAGAAGCAAATTACGATAGTGGAAAAAAATAGAAAGATAATGAAATAATAAAATATTGGAAGATTAGAAGGAAGTTCTTAGCAAGTAAGCATTTAATCAAGACTCACACCAATTGTTGACTCCTACCTTGTCTCATCAATACTTAGTTCAGTGAATAACGAGGACTATGCCAAATCTAAATTTTAATTTTAATTTTATTATGAACTATATCAAGTAAAAGATATTCCTTCCCTATCTATAATTATATTTTATTCATTCTTGAATGATATTTACAGTAAAATTTACAATAAAGTTAATATATATATATATATATATATATATGTGTAAAGGTTAAATCATTTCTGCAGCCGCTTTACGTACAACAATGACAGGTGTATAGTTATTTATAATTTCTCACGTTTAATGCTTTCATCCTTTGTATGATTATGATTCCCTGTATTTAATGCTTTCAAGTATATATATGGCAAGTATTTGATTGCTGCACATACAACAGCTGCAAAAATGTAAACCCCATATATAAATCCAATATATAAATATGTATTTATATCAAAATTTAAATATTACAGAAGAGATAAAATTTTATTAAAATATGGATTTAAATTTTCTCAATATATAATGTTAAAAAAATATTATTTGCTTAATAATTAATAATTAATATTGCACATAAAAATGATAAATCTTCATTATAAGTATTCCAAGATATAATAAGAAGCGAATACTTCAAAGTTTTTTTTTTTTTTTTTTTTTGGTATCCTACTTCAAAGCTTTTAATATAGAACCAATTCGTCAAGGGTTATTGGGCAAATAATTACATTTTTGCTGACATTTCACTTGTATATTTGTGTGTAAATATTTTTTTATTTAAAAAATAAATTATGATAAATCAGTTATTTGTAGAATATTTTAAGAAATGTTAAATGTTTATTTATTAAAATAATTTTTAAATGAATCTTTATCAAATTTTTTATGCATATATTGATTCCGATAGAAGAAACGATCTTTAAAAAGAAATGGTAACTTTGAATAGTCGGGCAGCGAGTTAACCCTAACCCAAAGGGCTTTGTGGGGCTTTTGATCTGTGTAGGCTTTTGACCTGTGTAGGCTTTTATAATTGTCAGTCTTTTAGCTTTACAAACTTTTGCCCCTAATTCGCATGAGTTATGGACTAATGGGGCAGACTAATCTATTTTGACAACCCTACTTATATGTATTGTAGTTGTCCTATTGAGGCCATAATTAAGAAATGAGAATAAGAGTTTGTGATCTCATTTTTTTAAGATGAACTAGCATTTGTCATTAGCTTAATTCTCGTAAAAATTTAAGTTGTTAAGTGAAAACATATTAATCGATTTTATATTATATTTTTAACACATCTCTTCACGCATGAGTTTTTTAGGCTTACGGAATGAATAATGTATAGTCCCATTAAATCTATGTTAAAAAAATTCATAATTTTTATTCGAAGTACAAGGATTCAATGATTATTTTATATCACTTAATCGTAGAGGCTTTGATACCATATTATAAATAAACTCTCCCAAGTGATTGGGTGAAAGTATACGAATCACTTTTATCTTATATATGTATTTAACAAAGGTGGACCTAAAAATTAATTTTTTAAAAATTATTATGGTGGATGTAAAATTTTAGAATTAAATTAAGAGAAATATTTTTTTTATGTTGTTGGAGATAGTTATCTTATCTTAGTGAAACAAAATTATAAGAGAGACTTACAAATAATTGGAGGAAAAAAAAATAGAGGTGAGACTTACCTTTATTATGTGTGTTTAGTAATTTGATTTATCTTATGTTGAATGAGATAAATATAACACTTAAATTAATCAAGAAATTCCGAATTGTTTCGGATCAAAATTTTAGGTTTAATTTTCCCATGAGTGGCAAAACAAGAACAGAATAATAAGTATTGGCTATGGGTGCCAGAGTCCAAAAAGCCAGTGATTTAAATTGGACATAGTTGACCCAGGCATTAACTCCGTTTAATAGTTTATGACAAACAACTCACCCTGCTCGCAGGATGTGATCTCTTCTTAAAGGTCTCCCACTCTCACCATGTCACATTGAGAAAACTGATCCAAATGACACTCTCTGTGATCAATGGAGAGACAGTGTGTATTTTTTGTGTGTGGATAAATTACAATTATTCTTTACTCGATGCAATTCTGTTTGGGATGATATATCCATAATTAAGTTTTTAAATTCCTTTCAAACATGATACTGGGAGATCGAACACATACCGGAGAGAAATGCCGATTTTTAGCCAAAGACTTGCAAAATTTCGTTACATGAAGTAATTTACGGGTGTTTATAGTTTTCTTGCCCGGACTGTTTGTTGGATTTTTTTTTTTTTTTTATTAGTGTGGGTTACGCCAGACAATCTCACCTTTCTCTAATTCGGTAAAATATTCAAGCTTATCGGCATCGAATACGTATCCGACATCGATACGTGAAGGAAATACACGTATCCGTCATGATTCATAAGTTGTCATAGTCTCTTTTATTGACCACAAAAAACAAAAAGTGCTATCATATTTCAAATTTTATGGACAAAGAAAGATAGGTCCACATGTTAAAATAAGTAATAATAAGATTAGTTGGTTCATTAGAGACAAAAATCTTATCGATGGTAAATTAATTGCTGCATGAGAGATGAGTAGTTGAGGATGAAAAATATTCAATTCTCCTTAATATCATTTTTAAGAGAGGTTGAAAGTCTTAATCCTGAACCTGAACTCCCCAATAAACTTATGAAATTACTAGGGGATAATCTAAAAAAATAAAAACAAAAACAAAAAATCTAAGTGGTGGAATTCTATGGTTCTGTTTCCTTTGGCCTCGGATCCCAAGCCTGCTGGCTGGTTAAAACGGTACAACCTACAGGTGACTCAGTTTACTACTGGTGGATCCCATTCATTTGTCTCTTTTATTTGTGTAGTATACCGTGTTCCAATCGAAACTATACATACTTATACGCCAGTGTGCGAAATTTAGTCTGTAATAATATTTGGTACGATTTGTTTGATGACAGCAAGACTCTGCAGCAGTACATTAAAGTTCATTTACCATGCTCAACTGCCCCGGCCCCTCACCAGTCTTAGCTAGTTTTTTTCCCCTATAAAAAGATATACTCTACAAACACATTGGTGCAGCACTACTCATAGAGTTATAACACAAAGGGAGATAGTGAAATCACCTATTGTGTGAGACATTTAGAATCGAGAGAGATGGCTAGGTGGTGTATCTTGATGCTTGTTCTTGCTGTGGCCGTGACTACAAGTGCGAGAAATGAACCCACCGATGCTGGTCTGAAGGACCAGAAGAACTTCATGACCTACGGTGGTGTTGGTGGTTATTCAGGACTTGGCAGTAATGGGTTACCTTTTGGAGGAGGTGGGGCCGGACTAGGTGGTCAGTTTGGCGGTGGACTTGGTGGCGGGCTCGGTGGTGGACTCGGTGGTACAACTGGGATTGGTGGAGTTAGCGGATTCGGTCCTGGTGTTGGAGGAGTAGGTGGCGGTGTTGGCGGCGGTGCTGGAGGCGGTGCTGGAACCGGTGTTGGTGGCGGTGTTCTTCCTTTCCCTTGAGACCAACATATGCAAGCATTGCTTCATCATGTGTCTCTGAATTACCCTAGTCTTTCTTTCGTTCAGGAAATAATTGTGGTTTGTTATGTATTGTTAATTTATCGTCGAAGCAATATTCTAGCTTTCTCGCCTATATTCAGAGTAATTAATATAGTTATATCTTGTATTGTGTCCTTTCGTCTTTGCTTAGGTTTTTTTGTCAACCATGGCACTTACACGTGGTTTCTCTTATGGGATTCATATTTCACTAGGAAGTAACGTAATTAATATATATGAGTTTAATTTTGTACTATGTACATGTTTTTATCCGTCCCTCTCTCTTTTTCTTTCGGATTATTGGTTTCAAGGTTTGAAGCTATTACAATTTACTTAAATATCATCCTCCTTTTACTTGATATTCAACAGGATAGAACAGTAGTATAATCGAGAAATGTAAAGCTTTTACTTCACACGAATACAATTTGGGACCATTGCCTTTGGTTATTTGGCCAAATGATGAGAGGGCAACATGGAAACTTAATTAATTATTTGAGCTTCAAACACAGGCCGTTTGAACCGGTCATAACTCATAGAAGTGAGTAATTTGTATTTGAGCTTCATGTGCTCTCGGGAGCATTTTGCGACAAGATATGTTTGTAGGTTCGGTCAAACCTAGGTTATTATATAGATATTTAGTTCATGCTTGATTTAATGTTTATCTATCCATGCTAAATCCACGTTCAGATGTAAATGGACTTTCATGTTCAAACCGACATACATGTTAAGTAAGATTTTAGTTAAAATGTGCTAGTGGGATTACAGCGCTGGTAATTTAAGTTGTATATGAATATTAATGTAAAGAGATCAAGCAGAAAAGGAAAAAGTTTTGCCAGAGTATTGATTTAAACAGGGACGTAGCTGAGATAGATTATAGTAAAAACATTTACTAATAGTATTGGGGAATATAATTTTTTTCTTAAAAACTAAAATAAAATCTAAACTCAAACAAAAAGCAGGGAAGATGGGTGTTCGGGGTACAGCCTCCCTCAAGTTACGCGAGGCTTCGTCTTGAACTTAAATTGTTGGATCTACCAATTAAATGACATACCCTAATCTTGTAATTAACGAGATGAATTTTCCTTCCCTTCAATATTTAATCATTAAAAATTGAGATTATTGATGTTAAAATATATATTTATTTTATCCAAAGCCCATTAGTCCATTACTATAAATAATTAATGTAGTTTGACCTTAGCTTCATTGATTAATGCCATACGATAATACTGGAAAATAAAAATGTACATACAATTATGGAGAAAGTTATATTTACAAACTCTTACAAACTACATTATATATTTTCAGAAGTAGACTAAATTACACTATGTACTTCTGGGGATATATAGTGTAATTTGTAAAAATTTGTAATTTTTTTTTTGTAAACGAATCATTTCCCAGTAATTATAATTAGTAATTGGATAACTTAAAAGGTTTTGCTAGTATTCTTAAAGAAGTTAAGGAGTATTTAGCATTTTTATTAAATATTTTTAATTATCTAAATAATAAAATGTTAAATATTGTTTAAGATTTGAATGTGTAGGAATCATGTTTTTATGTAATAACATTCCTTGACGAATTTTTAATGTCCAATAATTTAATTGGAGCATTTCAAAATGTTTTGACTTTAATGCTCAACTGCATTGGTCATCTAGTTCCCTAAGCATTACTCACAGACAGCAAATGTTCGCTGCTTGGAAACATGTGATCACATGAAGAAGAAAATTAGCGAAGGCTAGAGGAAAGAGAAAATGACTAACTGAGGGAGCATTTAAATAAGAGAAAGAAAAAAAATATGGCGCGCACACAAAGAATTACGCAACAGTGACCAAAGTTTCACTTTGTTAAATTTTTTATTCAAAATATCATGTGAATAACACGTGTCATAATTAACTATCACTTATAGCGAATTTCGTGGCCAATAATTTCGTGACACGTGACCATATTACATACCAAATTCGCTACCACTGGTAGCGAATTATGACACGTCAGCTTTTTCCTGTGAAAGTGTGCACGTGTTATAAAATCATTGGAGAACATAATTCGCCACCGGTCGTAGCGAATTACGCCCACGTGACAGTTTGGTAAAAAATACTATTCAAGTGACATTTAGATAAAACTTTTGCCCAAAAATAATATTTTGATCACTGTTCTAAGAATTACCTTCTCTATGCCCAGCGGAATTGGCAAAAAAATTAAAATAATGTTATTTAATTAAATAATTACGTATTTATTGCAGTTTTGGAAAAAATTACGGATCTATTGCACACTGTAACGCCTCTTTTGGGCGTCACATGTGACGCCTCACCCTAGGGGAAGACGCCCAAATGGGGCGTCTCTCGTGTGGCGTTGACACGTGTCACTTTTTTTTCCAAAAAAAATTAATTTAATCATAAAACTTCTAAAGGCCATAACTTTTGACTCGAGCATCCAAATCAGGTAATTTTTTTTTGATTCCACATAACTTTTTGAGATCTACGCAATGATATCTCATTTGATATATTTTATTTCTCACCAATAGTTTTTCAAATTATATGTATATTTGAGTTTAAATCAAAAATCAAATCTTTATTTTGTTTTCCTTATTAATAATAATTGTTACTTTTAATTTAAATCACACATCAAATCTTGATTTGTTTTTTTTTTTTTGGAGTTACTCTACCCTAATTATCTCTTTGAGACGAGTTGGCTCCCTCCGGTAACCCCACGAGCTTCGACTCTTTGAGCCGGCTATGGGATTAATCCGGAGTGCGGGGGAACGGAAACAGTGATGGCTAAAGGTTCAGCCCCCTCCCCAAGAATGCATTCAGCGGGAATCGAACACATATCCAACCTCACTAACTCAGCGCCAAGTTACCAACTGAGCTGCACCCATTGGGTAAATCTTGATTTGTTTTTTGTATTAAATCACAAACGCAGAACTCAGAGGCTTCTGAGTTTAAAAATGTGACACGTGCCAACACGTGTCAAAACGTAACACATCACCAATCACGTCTAAATTGGGTTTCAATCAAGAGGCAATAATGCCTAATTTAGGTAAATTTTTTTTTGAAAAACATTCATGAGAAATAAAATATATCAAATGAGATGTCATTGCGTAGATCTCGAAAAGTTATGTGGAATCAAAAAAGAATTACCTGATTTGGATACTCGAGTCAAAAGTTATGGCATTTAGAAGTTTTATGATTAAATTAAATTTTTTTTGGAAAAAAAAGTGACACGTGTCAACGCCACACAAGAGACGCCCCATTTGGGCATCTTCCCCTAGGGTGAGACGCCTCAATGAGGCGTCACATGTGACGCCCAAAAGAGGCGTGTGCATTAGATCCGTAATTTTTTCCAAAACTGCAATAAATACGTAATTATTTAATTAAATAACATTATTTTAATTTTTTTGCCTAGCGGAATTAGATAATAAATGTTGTTTATGCATTAATTTAATTTTATATTGTTAATGCCTTAGTTTAATATTATTTTAAATGATTAATGCTTTTATGACATTTGTTAATAATAACTTTTCATTTTTAATTTTTTTTGGTAAAGATAACTTTTCATTTTAATTTGTGAACTAAAAAACATTCACAAATCCCCAAAACAAAAAACAATCTGAATTTTAAATTAGTCTAGTACTGAATACTAGCTCAGACGGTCACTAGCATTCTCCGTAGATGTATCTAATATAATAATATATTTATATTATCTTTATTTTTATGGTTATTTTATTTCATATTTTTTTTCACTTTCGGGAAATGGAGTATATACTCCGGGAGCACTTATAATTAAGGGGGTGTTTGGTATGCGGAATTTTTCGAAATTCTAGAGAAATTGAATTTTTTTAAATTTACAGATATTATCATAAACTGAATGTAAAAATTATATTTTTGAAAATCGAGATTCCCAGCTAAAAAAAAAATTTCTCCTCTACCAAACACCCCATAAGAGTCCCATATTTTTATTTTCTAGTTCTATTTCATATAGAAAATAAGAAAATCTTATTTGTATTGATGTACTTCAGTTTAAAAATAGAATAGAAAATGTGTTCAGTCTTAGGGGTCGATGTATTCCATTAGAAATTGATGAGTTTCTTTAGGATCAATAAGATTTCTCATGTACTTATGCATGAAGTATCTTAGAGGATAATAAATTGTAAATTACTATTAGTGTAGACAAGAAGTGAGGTATGTCCATATTAACAACTAAAAGAGAGAGTAAAAAAAGTGCATATACGTCAGTTTAATCTCTTATTTATAGATGATTAATTAGTATATGAGTATTTCAACCACACAAAAAAATCTAGTATGTGAGAAATTTTGAATAAAGTACCTGACATCACATCTTACGTTCTTCACACGGCATAATCTCTGTTGTGCAGTAACATAAGGCATCTAATTTGTGAGCTAGGATATTCTAACTACTTATTTTTTCTACTACCACTCCACTGCCACTCTAATCACCATTTGATTAAAGGAAAAGTTGAATGAAGAGAGAAAAAAAAAATAACTTTTGAATCCAATGGTGATTAAAGTGGTAGTGGAGTGGTAGTAGAAAAAATAGGTAGTAGGAATATCCTACCTCCTAATTTGTACCAGCAGTTACATCAATGCGGGATACTTCCTTGTATAATAGTCCTCATAGAAGATAATAATAATCTCCCGGATTATAATCCGCACAGAGATAAGAAGAGTCTCCGGGAACATAATTCGCATAGAGGTCATAATAGTCTTCGGACACATAAGCTGCACAGAAATAACCATATTCTCCGGACACAAAAGCCCGCACAGTGAGAGCTATGTGCCCATGTCTGATCCGCTGAAAATATGGCAAAATTGATATCTCAATGTTCAAATTCTTCCACTATTTCCCTCTTAATTAATTAATTGCCCTACGTGGGATGTATGAATATGCGCTCATAAGTTGGGTGGGGTGTGTGGGGAGGTCACAATGTTATGTACTTCTCTTTTCTTTTA